AGATTGCATCAGTCACAAAAATTATGTCCGATGCAATTCCCTATTTTGACTTGTGTCATAATTATGTTCCCGTGTGTTTTCAGGTGAACAATTGTCTTGCTATTGCATGTGTTTGTGACGGATGCCACCGGTGGGACAGGATACGCTCACCTTTTCGCGAACACCTGGTGTCCTGGTGGAAATGGAAAGGGTTTTTTCGCTTTATTTTCATAACCATTCGCATCTTTCCGTAAGCCACACGTATATCCCAGAGTAACACATGTTCCTCGAGAGCTCATTCGGCTTGTCTATATGCTTGTCGTAAAAGGCAACGAACGGGATCAGGTGGTCAGGCTCGCTGACTTAGTTGATGCATGTCATCGATCCCAATTGGGTGGATCGATGCTCATGATATCAATCACTGGATTGTCTGGTCCAGACTCGATTATTTACAGACCGCCGTCATATAGCTGGAATATTGCTGAGTGCGGCGTTAAACAACAAACCAACCAACCATCATTTGGCTTGTCTCACAATTATGGTGGTTGACTAGGGCCATTGCAATATCGCCTTGAGATATCCACGCGATATCGCGACAAAGCGATAGCACGACACGATATAGCGATATTGCGATGCAGACAGAAACGACATGGCGATACCATGCAACGACATTGCGATAACACGACACGACATGGCGATAGCAAGACACAACATCGGGTGAACATGCAACGACATTGCGATAAAACCACACGACATGGCGATAACATGATGCGGCACGATATGGCGATATTGTTCAGTCGCCATTTGTGAAATAAAGTAAAACGGCTTCGCAGGTTCATGCTGAACATTTTGTAATAAGATGGGAGGAAGTCAGTCAGATAAACGCATCCATAAGCCGATGTACAGAATTAGCAAGCACGAAGGCACCCTGTATCTAACCGTAGTTGTAATTCTATAACAAATTATTCCATCTCAGCCACAAAGTGTGTTTTTGTTATTCATTGTCAAGACGACTGATCAAGTGAACTTATTAGAAACGTGTAATTATCACCGAATCCCACAAGTAAGGCTAATAGAATGAGCTGTTTCATAATCGTGATCACGATGTAAAATCATAAATCAGTTAAAAACAGTTCTTTTTGCTGTAAAATGTCAAATCCATATATACTCCTACAAACGAAATTTGGGTGTGCGAAGAAAAACATTTATTGCACATCCAAAAGCTTGATGAGTGTTTACATATTGCAACACTGACACAGGACAACAGTGACCACGTGTCCAGTATGAAGCTATTGCACTGAACACGACAATACCTAAATCACGAGAACTCTGTAGGCAGTAGGATTTCATCAGAACAACTTTCGGTTGTCACAGTGAGTGAGTGAGTAAGTGAGTTTGGTTTTACGCCGCTTTTAGCAATATTCCAGCAATATCACGGCGGGGGACACCAGAAATGGGCTTCACACATTGTACCCATGTCGGGATTCGATCCCGGGTCTTCGGCGTGACGAGCGAACGCCTTAACCACTAGGCTACCCGACCGCCCCCGGTTGTCACAGTGCCTGGTACTATTTTGTTCTACGTTAGGATGAGAATCTCCAACATCATTACGCTGCCATTGTCATCTCTGTTGACTCTCCCATCAGTTCAGTGCAACATCAATCTCTATACTCAACGCTGTACACATATAGCAAGACAACATAGCATAGCAACGCAACATTGCAACACGGGATCCCCCACATCATTACGCTGCCATTGTCATCTCTGTTGACTCTCCCATCAGTTCAGTGCAACATCAATCTCTATACTCAACGCTGTACACATATAGCAACACAACATAGCATAGCAACGCAACATAGCAACACGGGATCCCCCACATCATTACGCTGCCATTGTCATCTCTGTTGACTCTCCCATCAGTTCAGTGCAACATCAATCTCTTTACTCAACGCTGTACACATATAGCAACACAACATAGCATAGCAACGCAACATTGCAACACGGGATCCCCCACATCATTACGCTGCCATTGTCATCTCTGTTGACTCTCCCATCAGTTCAGTGCAACATCAATCTCTATACTCAACGCTGTACACATATAGCAACACAACATAGCATAGCAACGCAACATAGCAACACGGGATCCCCCACATCATAAGGCTGCCATTGCCATCTCTGTTGACTCTCCCACTATCTCATTAAAATCAGATCTTAGTTCTCGCTACCGCTAAACAAAGATCTGAGGACATCCAATTACGGGTCACGTGAGACCGACCTTGCGCGAACTTTGACCGACCAATGGAATGACCAATCAGAAGGCAGCTTTCTCGTGCTTTACGGCACTAATTTCAAATTGACAACTACGCTTCGAAACATATTTTGACAAATTCTCGATTACAAATTTGAAGCTGAACAAAAGAACATTCTGGAATGGTAAATAGATGGTCTAGATTGTATGGATTCAGTCGTTAAACTCGTAACTATCGTTCGGAATATCCCGTGTTAATGTTTTCGAGGTTGTATGATTAGAAATCACATTCCGACTGTCACTTTCATGATCTGGTAAGTGACGCTCTGATTGGTCGAAAGAAAGGTCGTTCTGACGTGACCCCTAATGGGATGTCGTCAGATCTTTGTTTAGCGGTAGCGAGAACTAAGGTCTGATTTTAATGAGATTGACTCTCCCATCAGTTCAGTGCAACATATATCTCTATACTCAACGCTGTACACATATAGCAACACAACATAGCATAGCAACGTTACATAGCAATACGGGATCCCCCACATCATTACGCTGCCACTGTCATCTCTGTTGAACAAAGTTGTAGTTGGAAACTAGAAAAGGAAAAATTGACATCGTAGCAGCACAACACAACGTTCCAGTACAACACAACGTTCCAGCACAACACAACGTAGCAGCACAACACAGTAGAACAGCACAATACAACGTAGCAGCACAACACAGTAGAACAGCACAACACAACGTTCCGGCACAACACAGTAGAACAGCACAATACAACGTTCCAGCACAACACAGTAGAACAGCACAACACAACGTAGCAGCACAGCAGAGTAGAACAGCACAATACAACGTAGCAGCACAACACAGTAGAACAGCACAATACAATGTTCCAGTACAACACAGTAGAGCAGCACAATACAACGTAGCAGCACAACACAGTAGTACAGCACAATACAATGTTCCAGTACAACACAGTAGAGCAGAACAATACAACGTAGCAGCACAACACAGTAGAACAGCACAATACAATGTTCCAGTACAACACAACGTAGCAGCACAGCACAGTAGAACAACACAATACAACGTAGCAGCACAACACAGCAGTACAACACAAGATAGCAAAACGACACAGGAGAACAGCACATCACAACATAGCAGCACTACACAACATGGCACCACAACACAACACAACATGGCTGCATAAAACGACATAGCAAAACAACATAGCAACAACACAACATAGTTAATATGATTTTTTTTAAAATAAGAAATATAAAACAGCCCGCACAACTGCTGATGGGTATCCTGCACACATTTCAAACACGGTAGGGGTCATGTGGTGGCAAATTCTTTTCTTACCCAAGTCCTTATTAAACGAATTCATTTTTACACAAAATTACACAGATTGCTATTTACAAACTGTTGCAGGAATGAGTGATGGTGAAATCTACATAATCATATATAACAACGTTTTTTTTCAATCTACATCCCGTTTCTTATAATTAGCCTGCTAATAAATCTGCTGCAGTGTTTGTACAGCATTACAATCGACAATAAAACACGCACACACAAGCAAATAATACAGTGTAGCACCAATTAATGTAATATAGCATAACGTGCATGTGAACAAGTACAATGCGTCATTCTTTAATTACCGTTATTTTCTCCGAATGTCGAGGTTAGTCCGGTTCCCACGAATGAAAAACTCTGGTATTGAAAATATGGACTGTGAAAAAAGTGTATACTCCCCAGGGAGGTGAGAATGTAAATTGAAACATACTGATCCATTGATAGGCCATCTTCGATAATCAAGTGTGTTCTATTTCACCATCTATTCTTTTTTTCATAATAGAACGTAGATTTACTACACTAGATCATGTTGAATGGGATGCATGTATAAGTCATGCAAAAAGACAACAAAAAAAGACCGGGATTCACCAAACGTAAGTTTGACCATAAGTTCAATAATTCAATAATGGTGATATAAGATACGACCATAATAAGGTAGAGAACAACAGGTGGCGGTGGTTACGATCGGGTTGCAACAAAATGACACAATTACATACACAACTCGAACCTGGCCTTTGGAGCAAAGAGCGAACGCGTTGATCACTTCGCTAATCGCTATATAAATAAGTGAAATATTTCAAACAATTATCGCCACCTGTCAATCAAACGACATGAAAATACCTGAAAATTAAACAAAGTTATACAGGAATTATTCTTATACACAGTGGAGTACGCACAGCACTCGACGTGGCCACTCAAGGCGTGGGAAACAATTGTATCTTCGTAATTGTTATACATGGCGTGTTAAAAGTACACAGATTACAAAGGAAACGTACATGTATATGAGTGAGTGAGTTTAGTTTTAACGCCGCTTTGAACATTACTTCGGCTACAACGGCCCGTTAGCTTCGCGTAGGCGGTCCTCTTTGTTTGTTGCTCTCAACAATATTCCAGTTATTTGACGGCGAGCTGTAAATAATCGAGTCTGGACCAGACAATCCAGCGATTGACACCATGAGCGTCGATCTACGCATGACAGTGAGTTACGAAGACATCTGAGAACGTGGCAGCCGTGACTGACTGATATCTGTAAATAACATAAAGAGAATAATTTAACCCAATGATTAAGCTAATATTAAACGCGATAAAAGTCATTTGCTAAGATCAATGTTCATTTCAAGGGCATGTCATCCAACGATATAATCGTTTCTCATAATTATCTACAAATTGGAATATTTAGCTAAATAAGGCTTTTCCGCCGTAGTGAGTAGGCGTATAATCACAGACAGAGGTTAGAGGTGGCAGAAGGTCCCACGGCTATAAGGGACGGATGTTGAAAGTCAGAACATTACAACAACGACTGACCTACTACAAGCGGACGCTGTCACAAGGTATTTGTCACTTTTTGCACCGAAAATGTAAAGTTTGGATATTGTTTATACTCGTACATAAATTCCATTTCTTCAAAACACAATTTCGCCCATCATCGTACTACGCCCATATTGTCTTTGTGTTTCAATTATTATTATGAATATAATTTTTATTTGAATCTTGTGTCAATATTAATATGTCGTACAATCCATTTACACCTGACAAGAACGATTTTATTAATTGATAAGGGTTCTTAATGGCAAGATTTCAGATCCCAGTTGATAATGGCTCACTTATCTGGCCATTTTCACCCCACATACTGTCAACCCCGTAAACATGGATTGTGCCGAGGTGAAATCGTCTGTTTGGAAAAAAATCATTGGTAGAAGAAGATTTTCTTTCATCATGCTGGCCTTTGATCCGTAATACACGTGAGGTAAATTCATTTGTTCTAAACACGCTTTCGCAAATATGTTTTTAAAAATGGTATTAATAAATGCAGATGGTGACTAATCAATTAATCAACTAATCAATCCCTTAAAAAATCACCATAGAGCGCTTTCTGCGTAGGCCTAGGTCACTCCTCTTTACTCACCAGTGATGTTCCGGGTAAGAAAAAAAGGTCTTCAGCAGCAACCCATGCTTGTCTTAAGATGCGACTATGCTTGTCGTAAGAGGCGACTAACGGGATCGGTTGGTCAGACTCGCTGACTTGGTTGATGCATGTTCGTCGTATCCTAATCCGGGATTTGAACCCGTAATCATAGGTTTCTGGCGGGCCTAAGGGGACGCAACTCTGCACAGCGAATCGCGGCGCCATAGACGAACCTCGTTGTGTTCATTGAAATTCCTGCATTCTGATTAGCTGAATTGGTCACGTGTTATTGCATTCATTTCCCAATGAATGTAAAACATTAAGCCACGCCAACCGAGGCACACTACTTTTATCACTGCGGAATGTCGGGGAATTCCAATATTACAGTCGAGGGAATTCCCTTTCTGCTCACGTGTATCGTCATGCACAGGACACTTAGCGTCATTCTTGCATTTTCATTAACCCAAACTACCCTTTGAGACCGAAGGCCGAGAAGGAATGGAACAGCAAACGTGCAGGCTCGCTCGCCTTTTTTTTAACCGCTCGCCTCGATTCCACAACTTTTGTTTCGTGTCTTTGGGTTTCATTTCTAACCCGCACATATCCAACTGTGTCTTCCCGTTCTCATGGGACTAATGTTTGGATCTGGCGGAAACTGACCATGTCATTTGAAAAAGCCGCCTTCTCGGAAACATATATTTGTACGGGTTCGTTACAGTCTGACTGATGCCGTGCTTCTCGCCTCTTGCCTAGATTGACAGGTCCTATGAAGTTAGTTTTGATCCTTCTTTGATCCTTTGTTTTTGGCTTCTGATTTGTTGGCGTGTCAAGCTTTTTGGATAACTTAAAAAATCAGCTGATTCATGTCACGCCTCCGCGTGGACCTTGTGATACTTGTGAACACATGATTGGGAAGACGACGCCATTGTTGCTGCAAAATGGTGCCAAGATCTTGCAAGGAGCATCCCAGACGTGTTCGATCGGATTGAGGTCGGGAGACCTTGACGGCCAGTCCATGACGTTGACTCCCGCATTCTGAAGGAAATTCCTTGTCAAACCTGCTGTGTGGGGTCTGGCATTGTCGTGTTGGAAGATCAAACCGGGTCCATGTGCTGTCATAAAAGGCAGAAGTTCTGGTGCCAGTACCGGGTCGCGGTAAGCAGCAGCGTTGAGGTTGCCACGGATGACAAGAAGCCTGGAACGTGCATTGCCACAGAAACCATGACACTTCCGCCTCGAAATCTGTCAACTTCCTGTACACAACACTGGGCGTAACGTTCATGACGGCGCCTCCACACCCTCGCCCTACCATCAGCAAATCGAAGATAAAATCGGGATTCATCACTGAAGACGACTTGATTCCAATTCCTCTGAGTCCATCGTAAGTGTCGCTGTGCCCACAATTGACGTTGACGTCTGTGTAATTGAGTCAGAATCGGCCCGCAGTATGGCCGTCGTGCTTGAAGGTGAGCAGTTCTCAGACGGTTTCGAACAGTTTGCGCACTCAGTCTACCCCTAAACAGTTCATTTCTGGTTGATGTAGCCGTCAAAAATCGGTTAAGGAGGTGACGTAAGACAATCTGACGATCCTCTGCCTGTGACGTAACACGTGACCACGTGGTCAGCGGTGGTACCCGTTTCCTGTAAACGCGTCTGTAAATCATAAACAGGCCGTCGACTACAACCCATCGTCCTTGCGACTTCAGCTACGGACGTTCCCGTCTGCAACATGCCGATGGCACGTTCACGTAGCACATTTGAAAGGCGTGGCATGACAAATGGCCGTAAAGACTTTTGTTTTCTTGTGTTTTTCTTTTTTTTAATGACTGCCAACAAGTATGGCTGAAAAGACGTGCGGTATTATGGCCACGTGACCAGTTGCACGTGAAAAACCACTTTTGCCACTATAGTGCTGTGCACATGATTTTGATCGATTCACCTGCACAAACACGGGTGTTATCTGAAGACAATACGTGGCCATTACTGTTTAAATACACAATAAGGGCCCACAATGATAACTGGTCAAAACGTTAAAATTTTAGGATTCTGAAGTTTTTAATTTGGTTCAATATATATACAATTAAAATTTCGTTGTGTTCATTGAAATTCCTGCATTCTGATTACCTGAATTGGTCACGTGTTATTGCATTCATTTCCCAATGAATGTAAAACATTAAGCCACGCCCACCGAGGCACACTACTTTTATCACTGCGGAATGTCGGGGAATTCCAATATTACAGTCGAGGGAATTCCCTTTCTGCTCACGTGTATCGTCATGTACAGGACACTTAGCGTCATTCTTGCATTTTCATTAACCCAAACTACCCTTTGAGACCGAAGGCCGAGAAGGAATGGAACAGCAAACGTGCAGGCTCGCTCGCCTTTTTTTTAACCGCTCGCCTCGATTCCACAACTTTTGTTTCGTGTCTTTGGGTTTCATTTCTAACCCGCACATTTCCAACTGTGTCTTCCCGTTCTCATGGAACTAATGTTTGGATCTGGCGGAAACTGACCATGTCATTTGAAAAAGCCGCCTTCTCGGAAACATATATTTGTTCCGGTTCATAACAGTCTGACTGTTGCCGTGCTTCTCGCCTCTTGCCTAGATTGACAGGTCCTATGAAGTTAGTTTTGATCCTTCTTTGATCCTTAGTTATTGGCTTCTGATTTGTTGGCGTGTCAAGTTTTTTGGATAACCTAAAAAATCAGCTGATTCATGTCACGCCTCCGCATGGACCTTGTGATGCTTGTGAACACATGATTGGGAAGACGACGCTATTGTTGCTGCAAAATGGTGCCAAGATCTTGCAAATTCTGTGGTTGGTTCTGGAGAGTGCGCAGACTTGTGCCAAGAGCATCCCAGACGTGTTCGATCGGATTGAGGTCGGGAGACCTTGACGGCCAGTCCATGACGTTGACTCCCGCATTCTGAAGGAAATTCCTGGTCAAAATTGCTGTGTGGGCTGTTTTTTGGATAACTTAAAAAATCACCTGATTCATGTCACGCCACGGTATGTATTCCTACGCTTGGAATGTTTATCAATCTCGACATTTTTGTCTTCTTTGATTTATATAACACATATTTTGATGAAACTTTTGTACATAACATACAGTTTGCACATCGGTTTTTCGATTCATACCTCAATGAACCGAAAAACATTACTCAGTCAATCCTTAAAATAAACAAGTGATTTCATCAGGTGTTTAAGTATTAAATATGCTCCAGCAGATATGGACAGATATCCCACAGGACTGTGTGACGCCTGGTCCATTCCATGAGACGAAGATGTGTTGCTTGCATCGCAACCAGAGGTGGACACACACGCTATTGATTTGCAAAATTGACATTTTGGCATGTTCATGTTTTTTTAAATATGAAATCACGCATTTTCTGAAGTCAGTATGGCAATTTAAACCATTTTAACACTAACAGGAGTCTTTAATCTGTTGCAAACCGAAATTGCTTCAGATTTGGTACAAAACATAACTTTGCATTAAATCTTATTCAATGTCACAGGAACCTTTGTTGTTCAGTATATGATGACATTTCTTTGAATCAGCTGCACTTCCAAAATATCTCAAATAGTTACCATAAAATATTAGTTATTGAGTTCTTCAGGAAATTGAATTCCAATTTAATTTCTGATAGCTGTTCAATGTACATAATTGTTATTAATCATTGCCAGGGAAATACATTTCAATTCGCTATCACAAACAAGTGTTGTGTTCTTAATTTATTGTGTATGCAGTCGTATCGCCGTGTATCTATAGTATTGTTACTTGATCTGTCTGGATATCCATGCCTCGTTATCCCGAATGTCCGGGTATCTCGATGTCTTAATACGGCCACGCTAGTATGTTCGAGATAATGGGGTTCGACTGTAATTAATAAAAAAATACTTAAATACAGTGTTTGCCTGAACAAACTCATATAACGTGATTTAATTTCGATTCATCCAGTTGGACCATAACGACAATGATGACGATGCTGCTGACAGTGACGTCGCTGCTGTTGTTGATGACCCCCGCACTGACGAAGCCACAAGAAGTGGACAGAGCCAAGAAGACTAGTGATCCTAACCAGTGGGGACGCAGAGGTCAGCTTACAGATACTCGAAACCCGTCAAGACATGAGTTAGGATGTCTTTAGCAACCTCTGCTTGTCGTAAATGGCGACAATTCTTGTCGTAAGAGACGAGCAACGGGATCGGGTGGTCAGGCTCGCTAACTTGGTTGATTCATGTCGTCGTATTCGGAATTGCGTGGGTGCCCATGATATCAATCACTGGATTGTCAGGCCCAGACTCAACAGACTGCCGTCATTTAGCTGGAATAACAAACAAACAAACAAACAAACAAACAAACAAGAAAACAGGCAAGCAAACAAACAAACAAGCAAACATATTCTTGAGGTCATCATACCTGGTTCAGATGCTGGTCTTGCATTAATAGTTGAACTATGTCTGCTGTCGTGTATGTAAATGTTGTCAGTCAGTCTAAAGCCCGTCTGAAGTGAAGTCAGGGCTCCGTTGCACAAAGGGATCTTAGTGTTAAGACTATAGCAAACCTAGGTTAAAGTATGTGAGCTACTATCACCTAAGAGCTAAAATCGCTTCGTGGAACGGGACCCATCTTGTAACCTATTTATAACATGTTGTTTTTGACGTCAGTTCAAAACCAGGCAAATGGATGCGCCGTGGGAGGACAAGCGTTAAATCACGGCGCCATCTTCATCATGAACAACAACCCGTGCATCAAGTACCAGTGCCAACATGGTGCAGCACAACCAGTTGAAATAAGTGAGTGACCCTTCAGTGACGAATTGAGAAAGATGTTGTATCAATAGTTTGCTTCAATCATGTTTTTCGGTTATTCCGACTGCTTATTAATAAGGTAATCATCGATCGATACCCAATAGCTAGACCTAGAAATAACACGCGACCAAATATCGTCGCAATGGAATTTCCTTACGTCACTCCACACCAGTGTTATAAGTACTAGTTAGGACCAATGACAAGGGGATAAACGCGACGCTAAAATTAGCGCGACATGTAAGCCACGATTTGTAATTACGCAGCGCTTGGGAGGAACGCTCGATGGCCATCTTTTAGAGTTTATATTACAAAAGTAGCTCCGGGTTCACTTTAAATGTTCAAAGATATGCCAGTGGTTGTTTTGTGCTTCTAGGAAACAATTTAATGATGGACACCATGATCACAGTGAAACTGCTAAATACAACGTCACACATGTGTCTTCTTAGAATACAAAGGTGTTTTCTACACTGTTAAATACGTTACACACGTGCCTCATGGAATGTTATGGTAAATTTTATTATAACACACGTGTCCACCTGAGCTTTGCTCATGGAATCGAACCCGTGCCTTCTTCAATGTTTATGTATAAGTTACACCTGCGCTGTCGACAATGTCAATGACCTGAGAAATGTTTAAATGACACAATCACACCTATGAATGTTTTATTGAGAACGCAACACACAGTTGCACCTGTGAATGTTTTTCTGATGAAGCTGCACTTGTGAATGTTTTACGGACGAAGTTGCACCTGTGAATGTTTTACTGACGAAGTTACACCTGTGAATGTTAACTGAAAATGTTACACCTGTGATCTTTAGAATGTTTGGACCAACACAACCGGTGCCACGTGATCGGAAGCACGATGCGAGGAGGATTCAATGGCTGTCTCATGATGCAGTGTCAGGCAAACGGGGTGTTTCAGCACGTGCAAAGTGGTATGTATATCATTTGATAAAAAGGCCCCATTCGAACTTGTACCATATGTTCCCGGGTTTATTTTTCAGATGTAAATTTGATTTTCCTTTGCATGTGTTTGTGACGGATGCCGACGGTGGGGCTACACTCACCTTTTCGCGAAAACTTGGTATCATCACTATTTGATAGGGATTCATGAACACATGCTTAAGATATAGACATGTGGTAGGATGGACTATATTTTTGCTGAGATTTCCTATGTACATTTCCCCCGCTTATATTCACATACCGTTCCACTTAAAGGTCAAATCATACACCCTTTCCTCGCTTGTTTCAAGGGGTGTATACCCCTGTATTGTCTTGAGCATTGGAGTGGTGATTGGTTTGGTGATTGAGTGGGTATGTGAGGATAGAGGTAGTGTGTGTGTTGTGTGTGGTGTGTTGTGTGGGGTGGTGGTGTGGGTGGTGTTTGGGTGGTGAAATGCGGATAGGGTGGTGATTTGAGGAGGATGTGGAAATATGAGGATGAAGTGAGGATGGGGTTGGCGATGTGATGATGGGAGTGGGATAGTGGGGTGAATAGGGTGTGGATGGGGCAGAGTATGTATGGATGTAGGGTGCGTATGGTTGTATGGTAGAGGTGGGGCGGGATGGGGCAGATATGTATGGATATAGGGTGTGTATGATTGTATGGTAGGGGTGGGGCGGGATGGGGCAGGGTATGTATGGATGTAGGGTGTGTATGGTTGTATGGTAGGGTAGGGGCGGGATGGGGCAGGGTATGTATTGATGTAGGGTGTGTATGGTTGTATGGTAGGGCTGGGGCGGGATGGGGCAGGGTATGAATGGATGTAGGGTGTGTATGGTTGTATGGTAGGGGTGGGGCGGGATGGGGCAGGGTATGAATGGATGTAGGGTGTGTAAGGTTGTATGGTAGGGGTGGGGCGGGATGGGGCAGGGTATGAATGGATGTAGGGTGTGTATGGTTGTATGGTAGGGGTGGGGCGGGATGGGACAGGGTAGGGTATGGATGTAGGGTGTGTATGGTTGTCTGGTAGGGGTGGGGCGGGATGGGGCAGAGTATGTATGGATGTAGGGTGTGTATGGTAGGGGTGGGGCGGGATGGGGCAGGGTATGTATGGATGTAGGGTGTGTATGGTTGTATGGTAGGGGTGGGGCGGGATGGGGCAGAGTATGTATGGATGTAGGGTGTTTATGATTGTATGGTAGGGGTGGGGCGGGATGGGGCAGGGTATGTATGGATGTAGGGTGTGTATGGTAGGGGTGAGGCGGGATGGGACAGGGTATGTATGGATGTAGGGTGTGTATGGTTGTATGGTAGGGGTGGGGCGGGATGGGGCAGAGTATGTATGGATGTAGGGTGTGTATGGTTGTATGGTAGGGGTGGGGCGGGATGGGGCAGGGTATGTATGGATGTAGGGTGTTTATGATTGTATGGTAGGGGTGGGGCGGGATGGGGCAGGGTATGTATGGATGTAGGGTGTGTATGGTAGGGGTGAGGCGGGATGGGACAGGGTATGTATGGATGTAGGGTGTGTATGGTTGTATGGTAGGGGTGGGGCGGGATGGGGCAGGGTATGTATGGATGTAGGGTGTGTATGGTTGTATGGTAGGGGTGGGGCGGGATGGGGCAGGGTATGTATGGATGTAGGGTGTGTATGGTTGTATGGTAGGGGTGGGGCGGGATGGGACAGGGTATGTATGGATGTAGGGTGTGTATGGTAGGGGTGGGGCGGGATGGGACAGGGTATGTATGGATGTAGGGTGTGTATGGTAGGGGTGGGGCGGGATGGGGCAGAGTATGTATGGATGTAGGGTGTGTATGGTTGTATGGTAGGGGTGGGGCGGGATTGGGCAGCGTATGTATGGATGTAGGGTGTGTATGGTAGGGGTGGGGCGGGATGGGGCAGGGTATGTATGGATGTAGGGTGTGTATGGTTGTATGGTAGGGGTGGGGCGGGATGGGGCAGAGTATGTATGGATGTAGGGTGTGTATGGTTATATGGTAGGGGTGGGGCGGGATGGGGCAGAGTATGTATGGATGTAGGGTGTGTATGGTTGTCTGGTAGGGGTGGGGCGGGATGGGGCAGGGTATGTATGGATGTAGGGTGTGTATGGTAGGGGTGGGGCGGGATGGGGCAGGGTATGAATGGATGTAGGGTGTGTATGGTTGTATGGTAGGGGTGGGGCGGGATGGGGCAGGGTATGTATGGATGTAGGGTGTGTATGGTTATATGGTAGGGGTGGGGCGGGATGGGGCAGAGTATGTATGGATGTAGGGTGTGTATGGTTATATGGTAGGGGTGGGGCGGGATGGGGCAGGGTATGAATGGATGTAGGGTGTGTATGGTTATATGGTAGGGGTGGGGCGGGATGGGGCAGAGTATGTATGGATGTAGGGTGTGTATGGTAGGGGTGGGGCAGGATGGGGCAGGGTATGTATGGATGTAGGGTGTGTATGGTTGTATGAGGGATCGGGGTTGGGTGTATGGAGGGAGTGGGGTAGGGTATGGATGGGAGTATGGAGGGAGTGGGGTAGGGTGTGGATGGGAGTATGGAGGGAGTGGGGTAGGGTGTGGATTGGAGTATGGAGGGAGTGGGGTAGAGTATGGATGGGAGTATTGAGGGATCGGGGTAGGGTGTGGATGGGAGTATGGAGGGAGTGGGGTAGGGTATGGATGGGAGTATGTAGGGATCGGGGTAGGGTGTGGATGGGTGTATGGAGGGAGTGGGGTAGGGTATGGATGGGAGTATGGAGGGATCGGGGTAGGGTGTGGATGGGTGTATGGAGGGATCGGGGTAGGGTATGGATGGGAGTATGGAGGGAGTGGGGTGGGGAATGGATGGGTGTATGGAGGGACAGGGGTAGGGTGTGGATGGGAGTATGGAGGGAGTGGGGTAGGATGTGGATGGGTATGATGTGGATTATAACTACCAACATCCTGACAGGACAAAGTCATTAATGTAAAAACATGGTGGTGATTCTTTTTCAGATCCATACAAATGTAAGGACATCAACAACGTTTGCCGACGCCCCCTCGTTGACCGCTTTCCCTACAACGTGAACGGCTACCACGTCAACGGCTGCACATGCAAAATAGAGGGAGGCGGGGTTAAGTATTACTGCCCTCAGGTTGGGAAGAAGTAGCCAGATGTCGGATGACAAGTCAGAAACGCCATCAGATGATATTGAAGGTTTACGAATTGGATTTTCACTACTTCTAAACCCCGTGCAAGGAACAACCATCGGTACACATGCATCATACCGGACACATATCCGCCATGTTTGTTTGATGCTACTCATAAAGCCGCACACGTTGTATTTTGTTCCTACTTTGGTAATTAAACATTTCATTTACTTACGAAAGTATTTAATTACAGCCGTTGACTGGGGTATTTTGTATTTTAGCGAGGCGTCAAAAATGGCGTCTGAAAAACCGTTGCTAAGGAATGACACGTGCACATGGTCTTATGGTGCTTTGTCGGTCATGTTATAAATGTTTCCATGTCTCTCCAGTGTTTCTTGTCTTTATCACATTGCAACAGTTCCCAGGCTGTGCGACCGATGGTGTTAACGATTGCCACACGAAACGCTGGTGTCATCGATGAAACCAGTGTTACGGATACTAGTATTTGATACTCGCAGTCTATCCGTGGTGCTGTGCCTTAATATGACTAATACGTCTTCAGGTATTTAGATCTCCATAATTCACTCTGCACTGTTTTTGTCATATACTCTAAAAAAAGTAGGGGACACTCGAAAATCACTTGAAGAGATATTTTTTTCTAGTAATAGTTGTATGATAATGAACGAATTATCTTTGGTGAATTTTGACAGTATATGTTATGACCGCCAACGATCTTGAAGGACAATCGGGGTAGGATGGGACATTTCAAAGTTTTTATCAGTAGTGCGTAATACTGCCACGATTTGTCAAACATTCACTCGACCAGGCATACAGCGTATGAATCTCCCAATGGCGATCTGAGGGTGTCCCACTCCTTTTGCAGCGCCTGGCTAAGTTTAGCCAACGTAGTCGGTGGCCTTGACGTTGACACACGCGTCTCCCTATTATGTCCCAGTCGTGTTCAGTGGGGCAAAGGCCTGGGCTCATTGCTGGCCATCCACGGTTCGTGGACAATGAGCACGGGCGTTGACATTCTGAAAGACAAAACTTCGACTCACACCCCTTGCAAAAAGGTCGACTAAGGGTGTCAGCATGTTGTCCCGATAGTTCTGTCCAGTGACCCTTCCTTGCACAATATGGAGAGGGGTTCACACAGTCATAGTGATGCCACCCCACACCATACCCGATCTACCCCGTGGTGTCAGGTTGGCAAAGGCTTGACGTTCATTTCGACGTCGCCAGACACAATCACGCAAATGCAAAATGAAAACGTGACACGTGACCAGCTACGATTACCCCAGTTTCGACGTTGTGTACGTTACTGACGTCTGTTGGCAATGTGACGATTTGTAAGAGGCGGCACAACACATGGCCGTAGGGCATGGAGTGAGTGAGTGAGTGAGTGAGTGAGTGAGTGAGTGAGTGAGTGAGTGAGGTTTTACGCCGCTTTTAGCAATGTTCCAGCAATATCACGGCGGGGGACACCAGAAATGGGCTTCACACATTGTACCCATGTCGGGAACCGAACCCGGGTCTTCGGCGTGACGAGCGAACGCTTTAACCACTAGGCTACCCGACCGCCCCCGTCGAGCCGCGAGATGAACTGCATGTAGACATTCCTGATCGTCTGAGCCGTAATTCGTACTCCAGTAGCTGATGAAAGATTGCAGCAATTTGAATCGTCGCTTGAGCTCGATTTCGTAGAGCCTGGTTTCGGATCAATCTTTCCATTACTCATGTCGTTGACCCGGAACGACCTGAACGGGGTCGATCGTCTACATTTAGGGTTTGTTGGTACATGTTCAATTATCTCTTAATCACAGACTGTGAAGGTTGAACGTACTGGCCGCTGAAAGCTGACTTCTGCCACTTTCCAGCATTCCAATAGCTAGTAGACGATCCGCGCGTTGCAGACGCCACATCGCCCGTTCATTACACAAACAATGAATGAAATAAAGTTAATCACAACTGTATGATACGTAGAATCAAAAAGACTGATGAATCGACCTTCCTTGAAAGTGTCAAAATCAGGAATGACATCTTTAGCACGGGTGTGGCGCTGCTGCATGAAGCACGTGCAAGCTACAGGATGTGTTTTGGTGTTAAGTGTTACAGACATAAACGTTCTTGAATAATATGTTTGTCATCTTTGTTCTAATACTTGGTGCTAATATTCATAGTTCACGATCCACTCCTTCGCCCCTTCTTTGCGATTAAAGAAAATGTATGTATTGAAGCACAGACAAAAATATTTATGTCTAATAAACATCCAAAGTCCTTTTGAGAATACCATACTAATGGCTGCATAATATCGTGCTGCGTGTCATTGAAACTGCGGAATTCTAATGGTACTTCAATGCTGTGTATTCAGTGTTATTCGTTTTAATGACAATATCATTGCACATGCGTCATCCAGTGAGTCACTTAACTGTATGTTCCATCAGTAATACGTGTAATTAAGGTGACAACAAAATGCAGGATAATGTTTGGTTTGTATTACAGTACGAATAATTTGATGCATTTCTCAACCACCCAAGCAAACATTACCAAGAACTATGTGCACTGACCTACATGCACCTAGGGATCTTAGTGTTGCGACCATTGTAACACACAACGTTTATACAGACATAAATATGTCGTAGCTATAATCGCTTTGCTCAAGTGGCCCCCATATCCTTTCCGGCACAATATCAGTCTTTAAAATGTCATGCGAGGTGCACACTCCGTCGTACATTTTCAAATAAGATCTGTGGTACGTCAAACTCTTCTTGCAAAGTTGTTGGTTGTTTGTTTATTGTTTAACGCCGCACTCAGCAATATTCCAGCTATATGATTGCGGTCTGTAAATAATCGAGTCTGGACCAGACAATCCAGTGATTGATATCATGAGCATCGATCTAGGCAACTGGGATCGATGACATGCATCAACCAAGTCAGCGAGCCTGACCTACCGATCCCGTTCGTTGCCTTTTACGACAAGCATAGTCACCTTTTACGGCAAGCATGGGTTGCCGAAGACCTATTCTACCCGGGATTCTACTTGCAAAGAGTACACCTGCTCTGTTTCTCTTCCGCTCCTGTAACTTTTACACAGGTTATGACAGGATGCTGATATATTATGTTCATGTAGATTTGTCGTTTCATTCAGTAATATCTCATTTACTCTAATTATTGGTGAGTGAGTTGAGTTTAACGCCGCTTTGAACAGTATTCCAGTCAGCACCTCACCTGCTTCAACGTAGAGCTTTCGAGCGCCTTTCTTCAAAGGACATATACTATGTACGATGGCAATTTGCAATATTTACTTTCGGTCTATAAAATGATATTTCAGGAGAGCCTCATTAATTGGATCCTGGAGAGAATGCGCCAATTTTAGTCCATCATTCCTGACGTCGACAATGTAAGATTATGCTATGGATGAGGGTGCCAAATCCCTTTTAGTACGCCGGATGTCGAGCCCTGTTATAGTTAAAACACGACTCAGATGTTTTTGTTGAAAATGTAAAACCTCGAGCGATGACAACTGAAGTCATGGCATGTGAGATTGAACATCCTCTCGTCATCTGTCTCGCGGTTCTGTGGGGAAAACAGTGGGTTACTGTGAGGTTGCAGGTTCGATTTTCAGGAAATTTTCATGTGAAAAAATTAGACTTTCAACCAGCGGAAGCTGTTTATATAATTCAACTGAAATACTAGGTTTTACAATTAAAATGTAAAACCTCCAAACAGGTCTTACAATTCAAATGTAAACCTCTTAACAGGTCTCACTTAAAAGTAGTGCCTCTATAAGATAGCTAGATACCTACAATACTATAGGAAAAAGTAGGGTTATAAGTGGTATTAAGGATACCACAGCTAGATGATATGAGATCTTTATCGGGAATGTGGATGCCAAAATGTCAATGTTGTTATATTGAATCCAGGTCTGCCATCAGACATTCCTCTACTACCTGGACACATAACAGTGTCTTTCCTCTCTATTTTGCAAGCACAAGGAGCACATGTATTGAAACGTGAAATAACATTGATATGTATAAACTGTGATAAAACAAAAAATGCTTGGTGCCATAAGTGGTGTCTTAATATTAATGATGATGATTCCAAAATTCCCCTTTTTTTCACAAAAGCGATGTGTATAATCTTTTTCTCACTAATAAACACCACTGTGCACTCACTGAACTCAGCCCTTTAATACAATGTCACTTGTCAAGCATGTATTTTTTGGATAACTATTTATTTTATTGGCAACAAAAAATTACTAACGCCCAAGATTTAAGTGACGCGCCGATGTCGGAGAAACACATACACTTCTCTTTTAAGACTTTAATATGATATATACTGTGAAGGAGATAGCACGGTATGGTCATCGCGATAAGCAGCAAAGATCGAAGGAATTTAAGCATTTAGCTGGTATATGAAGCTCTCTACATCTTCCAGTGATAGACTTACAAGCCAAGACAAGAAACGATTCTTTCCCTGATACTATAAATAGACTGTGTAAACAACTCAACGTCAACAACACCACAACGTCTCTGAATTCGTGTATTAAAACGCTGTTCACTGAGACTTGACGAGGGGGAATATTTTCTGGAATTATGGAATAATGTAAATGGAAACAAGCTGAGAACAAGCAGCTGATGAAGGAATGTACACCAGCGCCTTACCTAAAATGCATCATATCTAGAAGAAGGCATCTTTTAAAACAGTGGTATGGCATAGGTGGCTTCAAATAGAGACAGGTATAGTCTGGAAGTGAATTTGAGGTACCAACGTTTACTACAATATCTGAAAAAACTCCAGTCAAAGTTGGTATGAAATTATTAAACAGTCATACATAACTGGATATTACATTTAAAGACAATCGGTGCATGAATAAAAAATCTGTCTATTTAGCTATCACTATATTTCACCAACAACCAGACCTGTTCGTCGCGGTTTGAACGAGCATTCATTGGAACAGCCATCTGCATAATGCTACCCCTGCGTCACAGGGCCATATGACACAGGTGAACCAATCAACTCAACTCGAAAGGGTGCACGGGAATCACGCACGCACGAATGCGGTGTTAGCATTAGATTTCATGATGTCTCAGCGCAAGCATCTTTCGGCTGATGCGAAAGGTTTCGTTGTTAAAATATTTGAATACTCTAAGGCTGAAAGTGAAAGACGTTCGCCCTTCTTTGACATTTCAAAGTACATGAAAAGAACAATTCATGCGTTACAGCTTCCCAGACAAACCATAGTTAAGATTTTGAACTCTCATAAAAACACACGCACGAATACGGTGTTAGCGTTGGGCGTCTCAAGCAGTTATTTATTATAATAATATTTATCCAATTATTTTTGCAATCTTTTTCAGGTCAGTGCTATTGACCCGAATGTATCATTCCTTGCCACATTATTATATTTCATGCATCATGTTGTATGTGTAATATATCATACGTAATTATTCATTTAGACAAATCATTGCTTTATGGTTTCGAAGATAATATTTTAATATTTTCGTAGCTGATTCGAGACTTTCGGGGCTGTTTCGGGTGAAAGAGAATCAAATTCTGAGCCAAGAATTGCACAAAGTGGACAAGATCCGATTACGATATGTACTACAAAGCACGAACCTGAAATTCGAAGACGATTCCTAGAAATCACACGAACTACAAGAATGTTTGGGAATCAAATCTTTAAGATTCTTAAGAAATGATTAAGAATATGTACAAATACGTAAGAATTCATATCCGTGGTAAATCGGGCTATTACATGTGGTAGTGAAACAGGGGTATATGTTTTGCACTATTGGTCCCACGAAATGCCCTCGTCGTCAGATTCGGAGTCTGTGCTGTCACCTAAATGAACAACAACAGGCTGGACAGTATCTGGTCGGATACAGTCTTGTTTCCAATACTCTTCCTCAACTTTGATAACATGTTGGACACAGTTTGCCCAAAGTACATCTGCCATCAAATTCAAGACAATCTGCTTGACGTCGGCAAGCTTGAAGGTCTTATTTTGCCGTGCGACCATATTTTTCAAATCACCCCAGATTACTTCGATGGGATTCAAGTCACAATGGTAAAGAGGAAGCCTAAGCACTTCGTGACCGTGTTCTCTCAACATGTTGTCAATCAAATAAGAGGGCGGGGGTTTGTTCTGAAGAACCAGTTGGTAGTAGTCAGGTTTTTTTGGCTTTCGTTGGCCTAGCAATGCGGTTGTTGTCCAACCACTGACATATCTCACCTTTGGTGGAATTTGAGGTTGGACAATGGTTAATAGGATCTCGACAACTGTGATAGGGAGCATTGTCCATAACCACCAACGATTTATCAGGCAGTGCTAAGAGGAGCTGCTCCTCAACATACGCAGTGAAAACCTGACCATTCATCTCGGTATTGTAGTCTCTGCCATCTGTAGATCTGGATCTGAACACTAGATCACACCCAGGGAGGAAACCTCTGTGGGAGCCTGCATGGAGGACAATCAGGCGCTCCCCTTTACCAGGGGGGATCTTGCGCTGTGGCTCTCTGGTATCTGGGTGAGACCATTGGTAAGCCGCTGTGTGGCACGAGGCGTTAACCCAGGTTTCGTCCAAATATACTCTTCAAAAAAAGAAACTTGACATAGATTTAAAACCACTTTTTGCCAAATATCTGAAATAATTACATTAATTGAGAACCAAATAAGTCAAACAGAAAGATGATGTGTCTATAATTCGCGAAAACACACGCAAAGCACATAAACGTAGCGTTTGGGGATCAATTTTGCAGCTTCATCCAAACGCAACCGCCTGTAAAAAACGTGCAGCACTGGATCCTGCATTTAGGCATGCAGGCCCCCCTGCTGAATGGGTATACAAATCCACATCAACGGCTGTTCATACAGTCCTTACAACGGCAGTAGAGGCGGTGACAGAATGCCAAGACTGAATGCAGCTCAACGGAACAACGCCATTGGGAGATTACAAGCTGGAGCAACTCAGCAAGAAGTGGCCAGGCACTTTGGCGTATCCAGACAGACAATCTCCGCACTGTGGACCCGATACAACAACACCAAAAGAGTCGACGAAAGACCAAGGTCAGGAAGACCAAGGGTGACAACCCAAGCACAAGATCGATACATCCGGCTGCGACACCTCCGAGACCGCACTACCACAGCCACGTCTACAACCACACAGATCCCTGGGGTACGCAGAATATCAGATCAAACGGTACGCAACAGACTGAGGGAGGCTGGACTTTTTGCACGAAGACCTGTTTGACGTCATGTATTGACCCCACGTCATCTGGCGGACCGTCTGCTTTGGTGGCAACAGAGGGTTAGATGGGCACGTGCAAGGTGGTGAAATGTACTGTTTCCTGACGAGTCCCGTTTCCTACTCACACGTGCTGATGGGCGCGCACGTGTCTACAGGCGTCGGGGTGAACGTTACGCCCCCAACTGTGTGCAGCAGGTTGTCACATTTGGCGGCGGGAGTGTCATGGTATGGGCCGGAATTCATCACGGTGGTAGGACGCCTCTCGTGCATGCGGCAGGTGCATTGACAGGTGTGCGTTACAGAGACTTGATCCTACAGCCTTACGTTCTTCCTCACGTCAAAGTTCATGGCGGACAGTTCCAGCAGGACAACGCTCGACCGCATATTGCACGTGTTTGTCAGGATTTCTTACACCACAACAACATCCAGACATTACCTTGGCCAGCCCGGTCACCAGATTTGTCCCCGAATTAAGCATCTGTGGGACGAATTGGATCGACGCGTTCGCAGAAGGAATCCATCGCCAAAAACACTTCCGGCGCTTCTTGATGTACTTCAGCATGAATGGCAGCACATCCAACAGCGTGTTATTGACAACTTGATTGCATCTATAGGTCGTCGGTGTCAAGCGGTGATTGATGCACGTGGTGGGCACAACCGATACTGACATTTTCTGTACCCCTGTGACATAAACTATATCGTGTACGTGTGTCTGTCTAGGTGACACGATTAATGTTTTGAACATTGTGTACATTGATCTTCTAGCAGTGTTTCAATTATGGTTTCTGTGTCCTATTTTGAAACAATCGCATTATATTACATTTTGAAAGTCAGTGTCAAGTTTCTTTTTTAGAAGAGTATAGTTAGGCTCATAGCCTTCTTCTCGTTTCTTTTTAATAGTGCGCAAATAATTGATACGCAAACGAATGAAATCTGGTCGTTCACACATTGCTAGTTTCGACCCTTTCGTCTTTTTGTACTGATATCCAAATTTGGAAAGGAGTTTACAAATGGTCCATTTGGAAATATCTAAGTCATGCTCTGTAAGGAGAATTTGTTTTAGTTTTCATTTTCTCGTGTTAACCGCCGAATCACGTCCCTGACAACTTTCTTATCAAAGGAATCTAACTTTAATTTCCTATCCTGTTTTGAGATGCCCCCTAAGGGATGTGCAGGGGAGCATGCATTTTTATCGGAGTTCAAAATCTTAACTACGGTTTGTCTGGGAAGCTGTAACGCATGAATTGTTCTTTTCATGTACTTTGAAATGTCAAAGAAGGGCGAACGTCTTTCACTTTCAGCCTTAAAGTATTCAAATATTTTAACAACGAAACCTTTCGCATCAGCGGAAAGATGCTTGCGCTGAGACATCATTAAATCTAATGCTAACACCGTATTCGTGCGTGCGTGATTCCCGTGCACCCTTTCGAGTTGAGTTGATTGGTTCACCTGTGTCATATGGCCCTGTGACGCAGGGGTAGCATTATGCAGATGGCTGTTCCAATGAATGCTCGTTCCACCCGTGACGAACAGGTCTGGTTGTTGATGAAATATAGTGATAGCTAAATAGACAGTTTGTTTTATTCATGCACCGATTGTCTTTAAATGTAATATCCAGTTGTGTATGACTGTTTAAGAATCTCATACCAACTTTGACTGGAGTAGGTCCAATAATTTTTCAGATATTGTAGTAAACGTCGGTACCTTAAATTACCTTCCAGACTATACCTGTCTCAATTTGAAGCCACCTATGCCATAACACTGTTTTAAATATTTCAGATTGCGTCACAAAACACCATTCATTTCGTTATTCGAGAATGAAACATAAACGTATTTTCACTTACGCAATGCTTAGCAACTAAGAACACCAAACACTTTTACATGTCAGTTGAAATCCTATATTCCAGACGTCTTTTAATTGTGTTTCTAGAAATACTGTGCATGAGATAGAACGCGAGCAAAGAAATAACCTTTATAACCGTTGACACATGATTCTCTCATATATATATAGTAGGGTGAAAACCCTGTTTAAGTCCGTATGCCATCTCTATCTCATTGTTGGTTCGAATCCCAAAATTATGTTGCTAGGTTTTGTCATGGCAGAGTCACAGGTAAATACTATCGGGACAACATCATTGCACCACTCTCGAGGCCAATTGCAACGTTTCATCTTTCAAGATGATAATGCACATGTTCATCGTGATAGGATTGTGACCCAATTCCTTCAACAGCAAAACATCCATGTCATGCCATGGTCAGTACTCCATGGTCCTGACCTGCCCCCATTGAACACGTCTGGGACGTCATTGGCAGACGTGTAGGTCGTCGTCAAAATCCACCCACCGATCTCAATGAACTCGGTCGGTGTTGCTCGCACTGACGAGCGAAACAACATGAGTCAAGCTGACTTTGGGTGCCTAATCAGAAGCATGCCTCGAAGAATGCGTGCATGTCTGGCCAAAAGAGATGGTTTTAACTGATTTTAGTGATTTTGGCTGCAAAATACAAATTTGACCCCGACCTCTTTAACGACATAGCGGGCCACCATCTCATCACACCAACCATTAGAACCTATCAGCTCAGATCGCCCACTCCCCAGCAGTTATGAGCATACCATTTCCATTTGCCCAAACAATATAGATCAAAAGATATGTCTTGATGATTCCGACTATCCCCTACATTTTTGGGCATATACACTGTTAAAGGCTCATGTCCTAAAAACATCATTTCAGGCGCATTTAACATTATTTAAATTAGTTGTTCGATTTTAATTTCATATATTCAATTTTAAGTTAATTTAAAGTTAAAACATAATTGCAAGGTTCCACCCCTTTAACCCCTTGTCAGAATCCTGCTTTATTTAATCCAATCTGATTTCGATTAAGTCGAAGTCGAACGTGTCGATACGTAAATAATTAGGCACTGACATTATGTACTAAACGAATCGAGGAATAAAATACACCATCCTCCTCCTCCTTGTAACAATTGTAGTGAACTGCATCCTTCCGCTTCGATTAGCTGGTGTACATTATGAAACAATATGTCAGAGTGCAAATCTGCCAGAAATTACCACGACAGTTCTCATTACGCAACGGATGTAAAAGTCAGACCCACAACTGACGTATTCCAGCGTCTGCCGTCACAAGGTAGGTTGTGTCATCTGAATGTCTGCATGCTTTGTATGAAGTAATGGATTTTATAGAATCAGGAGAGAACACCACTGGTCGGAATTGTTTCAGCTCAGCGTTACATGGATGGCATTCTTCGTCCGATATGTCCTACCATTTCTACAACAGCCTCTACGACGTGTCAGCATGACAACGTCAGACCCCATACGACCCGAATCGTGCAGGAGCCACTTAAAGCCAACACCGTCAATGAGTTGCCCTTTCTTGCACAGTCCACAGACATATATATGCATGTCCCCTATAGAACACCTATAGGATGTCATGGGTCGTTGACAGCGTCCATATCATCCAGCCGACCAGGCTCTCTAAGAAGAATGGCGACGTATCCCAAGTGACGTCATCAGACGACTGAATTTTTCTTTGCGCCGGGGAGTTTTTGCATGGCGTGTAGCAGGGGGTGGTCATACACGCTATTAATGTGACGTGTCATTGAATTTGAGCGATCTTAGATGTGTGTGGCCTTGGTCCATTACGTTGAAAGCTTGTTTTTGCTACCCCGCTTCAATTCGGGCTGTAGGACTGTGATTAAGTTGTTGATTACGATCTTTTCGAATACATTTAACTTCATGCATCTATTCTTTGTGATTTTAAGACTAGATTGATTTAAAACTATAATTTTTTTGGCCGTCAGTTTATTTATTTTCACAATGATTTAATTTGTTACACAACAGAACATTAAAGTGGGATAAATAGATTATTAATTTTGGCTACGTTTTCTGCTTATATGCAATGGAGAATAATTACATCAATTATATAACTCGTCATACGAGTCAGTAGACAAAGGGCGTACTAATTGACAGTTTGTTTTATTTATAAGGTATTTTGTAGGTATACTAGTATATTACTGTAAGAAAGTGTCTTCTTTCAAAGTAATGACGTCATCGTAATTCATGTTATCAGAGGTTATTTGAGGTCCTACTTTGAATAAGTAACGTTAATTTGAATGTTATAAAATATGTTAGATATATCCCTCAAACTTATGAACCTATTTCTATGATAAAGATAAAGATGAATTTTCAGACTGAATTATACTCTTTTGTTTCATTGAGATCAAGGAGACAATGTCGACATTACTACGGACTCTGATGTGTCTGTTGCTGCTGGTAGCCGTCTCCTCGGCCAAGCCGGCACTGGACAGGGCCAAGAGGTCAAGCGATCCTAATCAGTGGAAAAATCGAAGTAGGTGTTATATATACAACCATATAACCATGCGGGGATTCTGGTTTAGTATTCGTCCCCAGCAACCTACCCTAGTATAGGTGTAATGATTCTGTCATGCATATACATGAAACCGCGTTAACTCGAAAGCCCTTGGGACAATACACACCCAGCGATTTAAGCCACATATCGAGTTAACCATGTTCGAGATAACGAAGTTTAATGGTATGGATACAGTCTCCCTGTTCCCCGTTGTGGCGTTGATTACATAGAACTATAAGGTGCATAAAACTAAACTCACTAACCCAGATAGAGATTTGGGGGGGAGGGGGGTCTAGTGGATAGAATGTCTGCCCCGCGAGTTGGAAGTCTGTGTTTGAATCCCCTGGCCACGTCGTACCCTTTTTTGTTGTCATGTCTGGCGCTCGGCATTAAGAGGATAAGACAAGGATTGGATGGGTCCGAGTCCGTGTACTGTGTTACAGTCGGCTGTCCATGGTATCTCAGTCGGCTCTTACTGACTGGCAAAATCCGGAATAGTACACGCAGCCACACCCACGCACGCACACACGCACACACACACACACACACACACACACACACATCAAACCCCATTTCACCTCACCTCAGGGGGAAATGTCGCACGTCACGCCGTTGCCCCGGGTACAATTCTCTGTATTATTACATGATCTAAAGCCCATTCTTGTGCCTTAACCTATGAATATTGCTAACGGCAGCATAAAACCATACTCACTCACTCATTAACTCATCTCTTTCCTCAGATCCTGGTCAGGCGTCTAGATGTTCTTATGGGGGTCGCGTCTTCAACCATGGCGCCGTGTTCCTTGCCGCAAACCGATGTACCAAGGTTCAGTGCAATGGCGGACGGATAAATTTCTTTGACATAAGTAAGTTTAATACATTTTCTATGATTGGGTGTAGTTCATTCTTAAATTGAAACGCTATGCACGCTCGTCTCATTCTCCTCCAAAGCGAAGGTACGGGTGGCCAAATCCTATAATATTAGGTTCGAATCCCAGATTTACCCTGAAATGGCAAATACATATAGTAGAGGCGAATAGTTTGTTCTTGTTTTCTTAAATGCGTGGCGGTAAATGGATTTTTAGTATTGTTACTAGCTAATTGTTCCACTTTAATTTTCTGTATGCACATTGCCTCGTTACAAGGGGGCAAAGGTTCGTTTCCCCTCATGGCACTATGGCACTGTCGAAACGGATCTTATATCAATGCAATGGTCGATTGCAGGATTTGCAAAGCATGTGTACTGTCAACTTAGCGTCAACAGATCATTTTCCACATCCTTTCATGCTAATAATCAAGGTGCAGACGTGAGTTGGTGCACTTCGCGAAGTAAGACCCGTTCTTTTACAATATAGATCTTGATTAGCGATCCGATCGTCTTGACTGGGCGCCGCCATTTTGTTTGAAGCAAATGCAAGTTGTAGCAGAGGTGGAATCTGATTAGTCAATAGGAGGGACATACAAGGGACGTAACTCGTAATAGTCACTGACGCGCTACGATCGAACCCAAACATTGACAGTCATTTAGCTCCCTTGCCCCGGGTAGGTGACAAAAAGTAGTTTTGGAGAAAATGGGAAAAGATGCCTTGACGAATTATTTACTAGTTATCTACCCAATACAATCTCTTGTTGTATAAACGTTACATAATTCAATACCAACTTGCACAACTACGACATTTTACTAAATCAATGAAAAGAGAGCCATGATGCCAACAACGACTCGTGGGCCCTTCTTAAGCTAATTTAGGCCATAAGTAAGACTGTAATGTTAAGGAAATTTCTTGAAATTGAATAAGCTGTTATATAGGATGAAATCGGAAATGCAGCGCTTCCAACCCCATTTAAGTTCATGCCTTGAGAACCAGGGTCAAGGGTCCATTTGGTACCAAACCTGTTTACCATTCGGCAATTTCTCGACTCGTGATTATCTATTCTTCCTGTCATACCCGCATCGATTGATAATGTAATTTGATTGCATTCAAGTCTTTCTTGTCTACCGAATCGGGATTTCCTCCACATAATCTTTGGTTCATAAACTGTTCGTATCGATGAAGCATGCTTCATAACGTCGTGCCTCTAAATGCTGGCCACCCACTGGGGTTTGTGCAACATTGTGAACATTTTCGTTTTGATATATTTCGTTTGTACAAGACCCATTGTCAAGATCAATCTTTGAGTGAGAGGTCGCCATCCTTCTTAGAAAGGTAATTCTTGCGGCCAATGTTAATGCTAAACTGGTTTCAGAAAGGGGGTTACACTCGCCCATTCTACCCTGGGTAGATTTATATAATACCTCATACGACAAGGATCCCCTCAGCTCCTATTGAGTTCGCCATACTTCTAACCCTTTTTTGATAGAGGCTTCGGCTACTCTCGTTGGATAAAAGATTTTTTCACAGGGGCGTACACGTCTGACATCGACGATGCATGCATGTCAACTAACAAATATGTTCAAACATCAGGGGCAGTTAATTCTAATCACCATTCCGGTTAAGATATAAGGTTAGGTAAAGCATATAATAGTGCAAATAAAACGTCCATAAAATATCAATACACAGTAACTTAAGTTTACAACAGCATCAATGGCAGCGATGATATCAGCCTGGTTCCCTGGGCATATTGCGCTGGCGCTACACTGAGCCAAAGAATCAAGAATACAAGATGATATATAGGAAGAGTAACGAAGTCACTCCAGGGAGTTTGTTCGGCTGAAGGTCAAAGGGAGACAATTCGTGCAACTGTGATTGGATTTAGGAGCCTTGCAGCCTGGTTCCTTGGGTATGCAGCGCTGGCGTTACACAGTAGCTCAGTGTAGCGCCAGCTCAGCATACCCAGAGAACCAGGCTGGGAGCCATCCTCACAGCGATAGCCCGTTCGCGGAGCTCTCTATACTGCCGAGAATGTAACGAAGGTGTCACACGCTGGGAAGGAGCTTGGACGTTGATGGTCAAAGGGAAGTAACTGTAAACCATTTGTTAAACCGGCTTTGGAACAAGGGACGTAGCTCTTGATTTGTTGTACGCGGTTAACTCCCTTTAAGTGATGGCAGTCAAGCTCCTCACAGCGATATCCCGCTCTTTACTCATTCGTCACCACTCGCCCCTTTCCGAGTAACCTGCTTGTCATGGAATAACACGAGTTGGTCACGAATGGCTTGATACTATCGCCCCCTATCGATTAATGTTATGTGCGAAAATACGACAAACCAATCAGTATGCGGCAAGGTCAAAGAATCCCTCAGGAATAATTTTTGATTTTATATATGTCTTGTACGGTGTCCCATAAGGGACATTGAGACTGTTTTTCCATATTTTGATATTTCACTTACTTTTATCGTAACCTTTTGCAAATTAACACCATTTGTCTTACAAATGTGTGATAAATCATGTGTAAAGAAGATATTGAATCGCTGAAAAGTGAAACGAAAATGTCAAAAACAAAAACGAAAATGTCAAAAACTAAAATGAAAATGTCAAAAACAAAAGCGAAAATGTCAAAAACTGAAATGAAAATACAGAAAACTATTTACACCCCGGTGAAAACTATTTACACCCCGGTGAAAATAGTTTTCTGTGGTTTCATTTTAGTTTTTGACCTTTTCGTTTTGGTTTTTGACATTTCCATTTTAGTTTTTGACCATTTCGTTTTGTTTTTTGACATTTCCATTTTAGTTTTTGACCTTTTCGTTTTGGTTTTTGACATTTCCATTTTAGTTTTTGACATTTTCGCTTCACATTTCGGCGACTCAATAGCTACTTGAAAGTACATTTTCCATTTTTTCGGTTGTTTTTATACATGATTTATCACATATTTGTATGACAAATCGTGTTAATTTGCAAAAGGTCACGATAAAAGTAAGCGAAACATCAAAATATTGAAAAACAGACTCCATGTCCCTTATGGGCCACCGTAGTCTTGCATTGAAAAATATACCCATGATACAGATTAATGTGTTCAATACTGTGTATAATAAGTCGCACAAATGGCCACGAGAGGGGCACGAGTCGCTATTCGGCTTGTCCCGGAATAACACGAGTTGGTCACGAATGATATTATCGCTGCCACCAGTCAAAACTCCCCAACTTCTATTTCATTAGAACTGTCATGAAATTGGTATAGTACGAATAAGAGTAATAAGGGGACGGTTGGGTGATTTTCCGTTTGTCTGTATTCTCGAACCAATCTGATTAAACAAACAAAAAGGTAAATTCATGTGGGAAATCTGGTCCGTCGTAAACGTTTTCAAAATACGCTATGTTGAACTTCCTGAAGACACAAACAAAAATATAAATGTGACTACATTTGGTTACATTTGGGGTAAGAGGGCAAATTTCAAGATTCTTGTTATGGTCGCTTCCACACTGACTGCAGTGATATTACCTAAGCTGGTTCCCGGCTCCCCACGCGCGCCGTCAACGTGTGATATGAGAGACGGGGCCCAGCTAACGATTGTACCGCGCTGGGAAGGTGCGTGTGCGGAGCTCAAGCTCCTCACAGCGACAGTCCGTGAAGGCAAGGGAGTTAATTCTTGTACAAACACGATTACCCCCCTTTGTCCATAAACAAAACCACTTCCGACCAGCACTTGGCCCTTTGCAATGTTTCTTTTCTATCCATTTTTTTTTAATGAAAAACATTCGCATAAAGGAGGAAGACTATTCAAGCTTGCACGCTGAGTTATAATTCATGTAACTGAACCAGCTTAATGGCAGCGATGGTATCTGAAGGGTAAGGAAGATGTCACGCGCTTGGAAGGAGTATATTTATGCCCTCATCTTGATTTCAGTTTCATTAGGGATCACCTGGCTTATTTCGTTACCAATATAATTAATCGATAGGTCCCCTTGAAAATCCGGGTAGAGAAGAGGTCTTCAGCAACCCATGCTTGCCGAAAGAGGCGACTTTGCTTGTCGTCAGAGGTGACGAACCCTTCGTCACCACTCGCCCCTTTCCGTAACTTGCAAGAAGACTCGTCCCCCTATCGATGAATGTTATGTGCGAAAATACAACAAACCAATCAGAATGCGCGTATGATTTCAAGTTCTTCGTCAAAGAATCCCTCAGAATTTTCTTTTGAATTTACATATGTCTTGCATCTAAAAATATACCAAGGACACAGTTAAATGTGTTCAATCATACTGTTTAATTCCGCATGTCCCGATGTGCTTTAAATTGCATCTGAAATATATATAATATATGGGAAGATATATGTGAACCATTACACAACGAGTTGACAAGTGTTTTAGGTATGCCCGTTTGCGCTAAGACAGAACCCGGTCGGAAAAATGGTCAAGAGAGGGGCACGAGTCGCTATTCGGCTCGTCCCGGAATAATACGAGTAGGTCTCGAATGGTGACTAACGGGATCGGGTGGTCAGGCTCGCTGACTTGGTTGATGCGTGTCATCGTGTCCCAATTGTCTGGTCCAGACTCGACTATTTACGGACCGCCGTGATATAGCTGGCCATGGAATATTGCTGAGTGCGGCGTTAAACAACAAACAACCACAAATCTATTCAATGAGTGAGATGTAGGCCTATATTATCCATGGTGCGGTACTTGATTTCTAATTAATGATCAAGACAGTGTTAACACGAATGCGGTAATTAAACGGTCAGATGTCTTTATGTGGGGTCGCGGCCTCAAGGTAAATTTCGAAGAACAGTAATATCCCTTGTTCTAGTTGTCCTCGGACATTTTGTATGCACCACTCCGTGTTAAAACCTGCCAGTAATAAAAGTATTCACACATTATATATTTGGTTCAACTGGTGCAAAAAAAGGCGGAATTAAAATCGCCATGATTACGAGATTCAGCATGAAGCCCTAATTGTTCTGTATAATTTCACCGGGGCGATATTTTGATGGAATCAGAATCTCCTTATTGAAGGTAATTATTTTGTAATTCAGAGTGCTTTCACAACAATATGTGCTACAACGTCGGTGGCAACGTCAGAGCAGGACACAATGGCTGCCAACTCTTCCGGTGTCAAGGAAACGGACAGTTCAGAGCTGTGCCAAATGGTATGAGATTATAATGTGAACCCTGAAAGTAATACAGAAGGGATCTTTGTTAGAATCGGTAAATAATACCGAATTCATGTCTTGTCAAAAGATAGTGAATGTTTTGCTCACCTAACTGGAAGTCAAGTAAGCCTTATACGGCCTAATTGTCGTCCGGAAACACTCGGAAACACTCGGAAACGTCATCTCCTCGGGAACCACTCCAACGATGAAGCTGAATCTCCCATGCTTGTTTCCATCAATGGTGACACTGTAATTTGTTCAAGAGGTGTGAATCTGATTTCAATATGTCCACCACAGCAGCCATATTGAAAGACCTATTTATATCTATTTCTAAGTCTTTCGTGTTGAAAATGTAATGAAATTTGGTATGTTTAGTGGGACTCAACACACTGCTCGGTTTTCGCAACGTGTTTTTTTAATCTTCATGTTTTGACCATTTCCATCATTTCTTTCCTAGTGCATACACGCCCCTGTATCAAGCATAACTTTGTGACGTACATGTATATCTATCTCCCTACGAGGCAAAAGGCTTATTTGAGGGAGTCGGCCCCACTCCTCTTGTTGACGCGCACTTCTCCCTAACATGTCCCAGATGTGCTCAATAGGGAAACGGTCTGGGGTCGTTGCACACACACACACACGCACGCACGCACGCACGCACGCACGCACACACACACACACACACATCCAAGTGAGTTACAGTGCTTTGGCAACATTTTCTGAAGAAAATCAATTGTCATATTATGTAAGCTAATCCATTTGTCTTGATTCCGTTTCATCACGATACCATGATATGTATAGTCTCAGTTTGACAAGGATACTTGACGAGGCAAGAAATCAAGACCGATAATTTAGCACGTACCCGTCTTTGCATCACATGTTCTTGATGGTGGTGGGGTGTCACCAAATGAGTAATCCGGGTAAGGATTGGTTTCTAGTACTACGTGCTTGTCTCCCCGTGGGCATTCCGGGGCAAAGGACGTTTCGAGTCAATCTCATTTAAATCAGATCTTAGTTTTCGCAACCGCTAAACAAAGATCTGAGGACATCCCATTACGGGTCACGTTAGAACGACGCAAACGTTGACCGACCAGTGAAATGACTGACAAGAAATAGACAGCTTTCTCGAGAGCTTTTCGACACTAGTTTCAAACTGGCGAGTACGCTTCGAAACAAATTTTGACGTATTCTCGATTATAAAATTTAAAACTGATAAAAACATTCTGGAATGGCTTATATTTGGCCAAGATTGTATGAATATAAGCATAAAATCCGTAACTGTCGTTCGGAATACCCTCTGTTTAATACTTCGATGTTGCATGATTAGAAAACACATTCCGATTGTCACTTTCATGATCTGTAAGCGACGCTCAGGTTGGTTCGATGAAAGGTCGTTCTGACGTGACCCGTAATGGGATGTCCTCAGATCTATGTTTAGCGATAGCGAGAACTAAGATCTGATTTAAATGAGATTGGTTTCGAGTTCCCATATTTGTCTCCCCGTGGGCATTCCAGGGCAAAGGACGTTTCGTGTACCCATATTTGTCTCCCCGTCGGTATTCAGAGACCGAGTAACTTCCTGGTACTCCATGCTCGTATGGAATTCAAGTCGAAATTCGTCCCAGCGCGCCACAGGGATTCCAGCCGCGCATTAGTTGTTCTTGCCCCTGGTATAGAGCTGTATTTCATTGTGCAGGAAGGAATAACACGTTGCAGGAACAAGGAGGTGCGTGTGTTGGTAAAGCTTGGATGAAGGCAACATGTCTTGTGTTGTGTTTCAGACCCATACAGATGTAAGGACGCCAACAACATGTGCCGCATATGCCAGGGCTGAAAGTGGAATCTCGCACTGAACTTTTTGTATCCTTAATAACTATGAGTTAAAAAATGTCCATGACGTAGAACGAATGTTTGGTTTCAAGCAAGAGGAAAACTATGTCATGTCAGCTTTAACTGACTGGTATTTAAAAAAATGTAATATAAAGCTTTGTTTAAAGAATAAACTATACGTTAATCAGTGAGTGTATGAGTATCATGTTGCATCAATCTTCGAGTTATATGACAGCGGCCTGTAGATAATCGAGTGCGGACCAGACAAACCTGTGATTGATGTTATGAACAACGTCCCAACGATCCTACACCTCCACCCAAATTCACTTAGGGACCGACTATTTGATGAACTGGAAGGGAGGAGGGAGAGTGCGTGTTGGGCTGGGATTTTGTATCGAGATTAGGTATTATTTCGGCTACAGCTACAAAACGTTATTTTTTAATTTAAAACAATTATCCTTATTATGTTTTTAGGAAAGACACCTTGCAACAATTTCATTGTTGTGGCAGCTAATTTTTTTCAACAGTCTGAAGCATAATTTTTTTTTCTCAAGAATTTTCGGGGCCAATTTCATATTTTTGATAAAATTCCAGGCAATCGGGTATTCATCGCATTCACCACGGAGCTGATCCTTGCTCATAATGTCAGTCGTGGGCTTGGTTCGGTCAAGATTCGAGTATTTAAAGGCCGGGGTCATACAGCTAAAATATTGCTGAATGCGGCGTTAAACAACAAACGAACAACCAAACAGCAGATCCGGGGAAAGTTGTTACCGTTAACATTGTCCACAGCTCAACACAACAAATTTGACTCACCTTCAGTTGACGTAACGTTACGCGAATCGGGAACAGCTTGGTTGGTTGGTTGGTTGGTTTGTTGTTTAACGCCGCACTCAGCAATATTCCAGCTGTATGACCCCGGCCTTTAAATACTCGAATCTTGACCAAGCATAGACTCGTTAATCCAGCCAAGATGTAACTCCATAATTCCAGCCTAGTTCGACAAGGGTGGAAACTGGACTTTTATAGTCAGTTAACTCACTTGCCTCGGGAGGATGACGAGTGTCCAGAACATTGTCACACTTCGTTTTGTTTGTTTGTTTTGTAATGTTGTTTAACGCCGCACTCAGCAATATTCCAGCTATATGACGGCGGTCTGTAGATAATCGAGTCTGGACCAGACAATCCAGTGATTAATATCATGAGCATCGATCCACGCAATTGGGATCAATGACATGCATCTACCAAGATCTATTCTACCCCGGAATCTTCACGGGTCGGAACAGCTTGGTGTGCTTTAAGGTAGGTTTGTGTAACTCGGATATAGAGCGGTACCGTAGTAACCTGTGAATATGTTCTGATTCAAAACAAACGATTAATATGAACTTGAGTTGTAGTTATTTGTGTTACATCAATTGAACCATTGACGTCTTGTGTGATATCACGAACAATCGACACATTAGCTCGTCATAGATTTATTGCCATCGATACTTCGATCGACGGGTATATTTCTATCAGCAACGTGTTTATGTTGAATATATATAATAGCTGTGTGAACATAGCTTTCTCTCTAAGACGCATTTCCAGCTGCTCAAAGTAACTGTTACGACTGCTTCGTTCACTATATCAAGCCAAAGCGTAATAAAATATTAACGTGTCTGTTAAAAGGTATGTCCTGGCAGGATCAACCAACCAATGTCTTAAGTTGTGGACCAAGCTGGACACAGATACCAGCAGCATGGTCAGTTCAGAGAAAGGACAACATGTATAGAGTTAACAACTGTTAAGAAGTGATTTCGAATTGAAACGCAAAGGTTAACCATGAAAAACCGGTATGTACAGAACTTCATTGTGAAATCAGTATTTGACCACAAAAGATCAATGAACAATTAACAATTTATATTGAAACACGAAGTTTTAAGTTTACAGTAAAAAAAAGGCAATACAATGGCAGCAACACTAAGTACCAGGCTCAATGACGTGTGTCAGTGCACACACGAGAGGCTGGAATTCCTGGGCTTGATCGTAGCGCCACCAGTGGCTATTACGAGTTATGTCCGTTATAAGCCTCTCCTATGGACCAATCAGATTCCACCTCTTGTATCACTTTGTTTGCTTCAAACGAAATGGCGGGGCCCTGTCAGAACAATCTGATTGATAATCAAGATCTATATTGTGATAAAACGGGTCTTACATCGCGAAATGCGTGAAATCACGTAAGCACCTTGATCTAAAAAATGAAAAGATTCGGAAAATTTCTGTTGACAACGAGTTGGCGGTGCACATATTTTGCAAATCCTGCAATCAACCGAAATCTGCAAGACAGTTTACGAAATGGATTTCGATTTGGTTGCGCGATTTTGATTGGACTATGCATAGACTCGTTAATCCAGCCAAGTTGTAACTCCATAATACCAGCCTAGTTCGACAAGGGTGGAAACTGGACTTTTATAGTCAGTTAACTCACTTGCCTCGGGAGGATGACGAGTGTCCAGAACATTGTCACACTTCGTTGTTTTTTTGGTTTTGTTTGTTGTTTAACGCCTCACTCAGCAATATTCCAGCATTACGACGGCGGTCTGTAAATAATCGAGTCTGGGCCAGACAATCCAGTGATTGACATGATGAGCATCGATCTACGCAATTGGGATACGATGACATGCATCAACCAAGTCAGCGAGCCTGACCATCCGGTCCCATTAGTCGCCTCTTACGACAAGCATTGTCGCCTTTTACGGCAAGCGTGGGTTGCTGAAGACCTATTCTATCCCGGTTCTTCACGGGCCCACTTTGAAGCTGGCTGGAATTCGGTGTTTGCAGATAGGTATCCCGTCTTGGTAAGAACATTACTGTAGTTCCGTCACGGCGTGTCAGATAAATGTGAGAGGAAAGCCAATGTGACGCATGTCGTATACTTTAAGCATGGTTAAACCCACGGGCATGGAAATGGTGCTGACACACCAAGGGTCATAATCGGAAAGATAAGCGGATACGAACCCACCACCAGCGGATACTCGTGCTAAGGGGAAGTAACTCTGAATAGACACTTTCTGTGCCTTAGACACCTGGGCAACCCCTAATGTAACTACTCCCATGAGGGACTGGGCCCGGGGGTGCGCCCATAATGAACGAAAGATAAATGTTTATAACAAGCCACGGCTGGCAATATTCCAGCAATACCAACACGATGACACGCCATAGGGCAGGTCAAATTTGTGGCTACCCGATCCTCATTTGTCGGCCATTACAAAAAACATGGGATCATATTCTGACTCAGACGGACGGAGGCTGTGCTGGACATGAACGACGTCGTAGCAAGGAAGCTACCTTTCACCTTTGTATTTTTGTGATTTGGGTCAGATTGCCTTGTAAAGTCAACTCTCATTAGAACTGAATGTTTTAATACATTCCAACGGCAATCATACGACAGAAAAACTATAATGATATATGTAATAAGACAGGAAATACGTTATTATAACAAAAAAAAACCTTTAACTATCCCCAGCTATGATGTGCGTCAGTTATTTCGTACCGACCAAGTTATAAGCTATAAACGGGAAGAGGGGTGGGGGGATGCTTTGATTTACATATTGTCCTTCAACGTTGAACGCATTCCAACGAAATCCCAGATCTACTTCGTAATGATAAAGATCGGGTCTAATTATGATGTGTCCATGATTATATGTTCAGTGACTGCGTGCCCTTTGCTTGGTAACTCACTCACGGAGAGCAAGCGTTTTGACTCACTGAGTAAGAAAGTCCATGAAAAGTATTCCCTACCAATAACAGGCACCATTATAGTTAGGCCGTCTGAATGTGTGGCGTTTCTCATCTCTGACCTGTCCTAAACTACCGCCACGCTACAAAATAGGAAAAACGCTTTTAAAGTTAACCCAGTTGCCCGTTTGAATATATATCTGCGCTCACTGGGAAAAAAAGAAACGAAAGATTCCAAAGTTCATCAAAATACCCACTGTACTTTATCGTAGATATATTTCAAGGCAGGAGTTGTAGAGTTCACGAAGCTCCTGCCTTCAATCCCTCCTTGGTGGAGACTTTTCAGATTGAGGTTCCTGTCTTTGGCCACTCGATCATGTATACTGCTGAAAAAAGGTTAGGACCACCCACTTATTTCATTTTACAATAGTTAATCTGTCACGACATGTCATGACATGACAAATTAATTCCTTGACGTTTTGGGACTGGTATATTTCATTCGCTGTACACCCTTTCTTGACTGCCCTTTGCTCCAACTTGCTGAAATCTATCATGGAGACATCCCCTGCTCCATATGGTGTTATGTGTTATGAATTATTCAATTTCTGCTTTGTATTTGTTAGCATGTAATCAGCATATGACATACTACCAAACACCAGAAACTCTCTAACACTGAACTATTACAAGGATCGGGTCAGGCTAGCTCGGAGAGAGTGTCAACGTACCCCGACGGCGTGGCTTGTTCGAGACTCGACTATTTACAGGAGGCCGCCATATTGATAGAATGAGTGCGGCGTTGAACAAGAAACAAACAAACAAAGCTAGGCTGCTGTAACCGACATTCTCGTAGTGGAAGAGCTTAACACGTGCTGGCGGGGAATCGAACCCGGGTTTTAGAGTGATCGCTTCACCCACGGAGCTATGATGAGCCACGTTGTTCACGGAAATGTTGACACTACGTAGTGTTCGACCTGACCCCATTGACTCAACTCTGTAGTCAGTGTCTACTATACATACTTAACATCTGAAACTGAACTTGACCAACGGATCTATGCTGTGCCGCGTTGTTTACGGAAATGTTGACACTGCGCAGTGTACGACCTGATCCCATTGACTCAACTCTGTAGTCAGTGTTTACTATACATGCTTAACATCTGAAACTGAACTTTTATAAAGTCATTATTGCTTGCACGGCTAATAATATGAGCTAATCTCTGTCCTGTCTCAGCGACCACGCCATTGGAAGCCCAGGACTCTGGTACGCATGATATTCAGCTGGGTTATGTCATGAGAGGGCTTTGATCACCCAATTATCATCGATTACGAAGTGTAATTGATGAATTAAGCGAAATGAGGCTTTTCCGTTGCAATTTGTTGGTCAATTATGGGTAATTTTTCTTAATGCATATATGTATGGCTATAACCGCCTTGAAAATGGATGTAGAAAATAGTGTTTTGCGGCATCTGCTACTGACGTCTTCTTGATCCTGCTGTCGCGAGGTAGGTTCAGAGAATGTTTATTCCTTAAGTAATGTAAAAAATATCGAGGTGGAGGATCTAAGAATGTACTTCACACGTCATGGGAAACGAATATGAGAGCTTTAGGCAATTTTAATGATTTTCCATGAAATCAGGGACTGTGATTTACATTATCAGTGCTTCAGTACTTGTGAATGAAGACAAGCAACTTGTGCGGAGTAAAGGTGGTGGTGGGTTGGGGTTTTGGGGCTTTTAAAATTAAATGATTCCCCAATCTAGAGAAAATTTAGATTATGTCTTGTCAGATAATAGAAAAAGGGGTCTCAAACAAAAATATCAATTAGATAATTGCGACGCATCGCATGTTTGATTAATTGTTACACCCCTACCTTTAAGTAATCTTTAAATTCGATCGTTTATTTGCATTTCCCTTTTTGTATACAACTCATGAATATCAAGGCAAAAGAAAGTCGCAATCTGATTGTTGAAATGTACAGTGAATCTGTTTATTACCATCGGAGTGAGTGTTCGATTCGCCGCTTTGAAAAGTATTACAGCGGCGTGTCAGCTTAATGTGTGAGGAAAGTCCGAAGTGATGCAGGTCTCAGACGTTTACCACTTCGGTGAAACCCAGGAACACGGGTATGGTGCTGACAAACCTAGAAACATAATCGGGGTGAACCGGGATTCGAACCCACAATCATGGGTTTCTGGCGTGCCCAAGGAACGCCACTCTGCACAGCGAATCGCGGCGCCTTAGACGACTGGGCCACCCGTGCCCCCTATTACCATCAGAAATTTGTGAGCACATTTAATTTGTTGAATATGATGCAGAAGAATACAAAGAGACAAGTCAGTGAAATGAAGTTAAAGGGCGTCCTACAGTGAAGTTAAATGTTGTCCTTCACGAAGGTCCACGGGGTCCCTACGGGGAAGTTAAAGGGGATCTCACTATAGTTAAAGAGTGTCCCCAGGAAAGTCAATCGGGGTCCTACAGGAACGTTAAAGGGCCAATACAGGAAGGTTACAGAAAAGAAATTATGCCCAGGATCACGACTCGTCCTACATTCTGTAAGCGCTTACACTGGTCCCTGTCTTTGGAGCATCCTTGCCGCCTGTCATAACCGCAGGTAGGCCTCTGAGCGTTCGTCATCCCTCGCCCCTTTCCGTAACCTGCAAGAAGACTCGTCCCCATATCGATGAATGTTATGTGCGAAAATACGACAAACCAATCAGAATGCGCGTATAATATATGGGAAAATATGTGTGAACACAACGAGTTGACAGGTATGCCCGTTTGCGTTAAGACGGAACCCGATCGGAAAAAATGGCCATGAGAGGGGCACGAATCACTATTCTGCTTGTCCAGGAATAATACGAGTAGGTCACGAATGGTCTCTGAGATGAGAAACGGGGCTATCATTGCTCTCATCCTTTCATCTGCGGTCAAACAATTTTATTTGTTTGTTGTTCAACGCCGCAATATTTCAGCTATATGACGGGGGTCTGTAAATAATCGCTGGAATATTACTGAGTGCGGCGTTGAACTACAAGCAAACACAATTGTTTGACCGCAGATGAAAGTCAATATTCCAGCTATATGACGGCGGTCTGTAAATAATCAGACCCGTGAAGATTCCGGGGGTAGAACAGGTCTTCAGCAACCCATACTTGCCGTAACGTGCGACTATGCTTGTCGTAAAAGGCGACCAACGGCTCGATGACATGGTTGATACAGCTCGTCGTTTATTTCTTTTCTGAGATATTTGGATGCAATCGTTCGGCCATTACGTTTATCTGCGTAGCCCGCCTACATCTAACGGGAACGACGTACAAGACACTTCCCTTTTAAAAATAACGTCGTCCAATATACCCTCTCCAAAGACAAAAAAAGAAAACGCACAGGTAGATTTTTAGTAAATTTATTCTACCTAATAAAGTCGATGTACTTAATTTAATATGATAGATATGAAATATGAAATATGAAATTTTGGAGTTCGATAGTCACATGTTGTCGTTGTACAAAGACATTGAAAACTGTTGATTGTCATGTCACATAAGGCCACAAGGTGGCGCTGAACTCAGTATCTTGTTCACGTCTCTGAATCTCCTCGGCACTGACTCGATAAATGTACGATTTCTGTCCTGCGGAATTCTGCGCCATTCTGCTTGTAACGCGTTGGCCAGTTGTGGGAGTTCACTTCGATCGAGTTCATCCCAGAGGTGATCGATTGGGTCGAGATCTGGAGATCTTGACAGCGCGAGGGCAAGACGCTGATGTTGGCATTATGACGGTACCGTGACACGAGCTGTGTGCGGTGGAGCGTTGTCCTGTTGAAACAACTTCTTTGGCGGTCAATGATTGGAAAAAGGTAGGGTTAAAGAATTTGATTCATGTGGCGATTTGCTGTCAAATTTCCCTGAACCACAACCAGGACAGATCTCGTGGTTTGGGATATGACCCTCCACACCATGACACTACCGCCACCGAATTTGCCGAATTCACGTACGCAATGGTCAACACGTCTATTTCGACGACGATAAATACGTTGTCTTCCATCTCGCCGGTGAAGAAGAAATCGTGATTCATCGCTTTAACCACACTCCAGTTTTTCAAATTCCAAGGCTGTCAGGTATGGCACCAACGCTAGCGTCGCTGTCGATGGATCTGTTGCAAAACAGGCACGATAACTGGCCGTCTTCTGGGTCGGATTCCAGCCTCGCGAAGATGGTTTCTGACAGTCTGGTCCGATATTCTCCTCAAACCAGGGATGCGTCTTGCAGTCTCCGTAGCTGCAGCCTGGTTCCCTGTTTATGCTGCGCTAGCGCTACACTGACCCAGGCAATGACTGCAGAATGGCCGCCTCCACTAGACGAACAAACATGGCGGACACGACATGTATTTATTATAGAAAAACGCAAGAACGGGTGGTTATAATTTTGTTTAAGCATTTTCATTAATGCTCTTGCAATGTTTACGTCACGAGAATAACGTCCATTGTTAGTGAAGGAAAACATTATTCAAGCTGTTTCGAGACACGAAAGTGGACATCACATCGGTGAAATGTAAACACACCCCATTTTCGACAGTGATATGTTCGTAAATATTTCGTGTCAGCTCTCTGTCGTGACGGAATCGTACACATAATACATGGAATTAAACGTCTACGTTAATAAAATATCGTTAGCATCTTTATTTTAGCAAATCTGACGACGCAAATGTCGCCGATTATGCCCCGTTTTTCCCATTGTAAAGTGGTGGTTTAGCGGAGTTATTGAACGCCCAGTATAATAACTAGAAAAAACACACAAACACTTTTGATCCCTAATAATGGTATTTAATGATAGGGTCTGTCATTGGTTCTGACATTCACATGAAAAGCCATTTATTTGGCATTTGTTTTCTTATTACACAATGAAATTAATCATTAATAGATCTAATAATTTTGGAAAATTAATTGATTAAATTCAATATAGTCTTTTTTAACTTTGTCGGATCTGAATGGCATAATAATAAAGAATATTGTTTATTATTTTGAAATAATTTGGCACAGTGGCATACACATTTATGTGTATTCTATATGATGCAATTTAGCCACTGGGGAATCCGTGTACAGAACAACATAAAGAAGTGTGCATACCATTATTATTGAAAAATAGTTATGATTATAATCATCATGTTAGATGAAATATCTGTGTACGAAATTAGGAACCAGGCTGCCGTAGCTGTGGCATTGCGGTGACGTAGGTGGAACAGTCGAATGTAGCGATCCTGTGCAGGGGTGGTAACTCTTGGTCGGACCGTCGGTTCTCGGACGGTCTGCAGTGGAATTGAACTGTGTGTATCGGTCACAAAGGCAGCAGATTGTGCTGTGGTGGACGTTGAAGACTATGATTCCCCTCTTTGGCAGCACTGAGTCTCGGCAGTTTCGAACTTGATAAATGTTGACATTTGAATGACAAATTATTGGCTTATGCTTGCCTTTTTATAGCCACTACCACGAGTACGAATGTCAAAACATTTTCCTTTACTGTTTTCCTCAATGACATTTTTGAACAAGTGTGAAAAGACATTGCAAATCGACAATAGCTGCGTTTTGACGCACTGTTTGTCGAATATCAGTCCACCAACATTTTCCAATAACATATATCCAATTTATACACCTGATTTTTTGTGTACTCGGGTTCAATGAACTCATTTTTTTGAAGTGTGTGAGCTGCGAGCGCATATTCGAATCTCCAGAAATGACGTCATGAAGGAACAATGTTTTATATGAAATAAACCACGTTTCGTTCCGCTTCAAGCTGACACGTCGTGATATTACTGGAATACAATTCACTCACTCACTCATTCATCCACAATTTATTTTCCAGTCAGATCTGAAAGACAATGACGACGATGTCTCTGTTGCTGCTGCTGGTGACCACCTCGGCAGCTACATCTTCATTGGAGAGGGCGAAGAAGACCAGTGACCCCAACCAGTGGAATTGTGAGTGTTTAAACATATCGGCCTATCACATTTCACACCCTGTATATATACTGAACCGCAAAATAAACGTCACTTCATGAAAATATTTTTTTTAGGTTTCTCGTTTTGGCATTAGTCTGTATATATCCAGATTTGATGTTAAACGGCCAAAAAGTGACATAGATATGGACATAATGATTATAACTACCTCAGAAAAAATGAGTTATAATAATATGATGCGTTTTGACACGCTGATTCTTTGTCATGAACATAAAGGAACTTACACATGAATTATGAATAACCGCATCATCCACGAAAAACTCGTACTGTTTGGATAGTCAACTGGCCAAAGCATTGGCTTGTCACGCCGAATGCACCCAGTGTGTTGGTGCATTGTGTGAACGTACACTGTGACCTACTTCTTCACCCTTTTTGTTGTTACCCTGGCTTTACGTCAGTGTACTGTGTCTGAGTGGGGTATTCATGTTAAACTGCGGCATGGTATCTCAGTGGGTTTGCACTATACATCGGCATCAGTCCAGACTAGTACAACCAGACACACACACACACACACACACACACACACACACACACACACACACACACACACACACACACACACACACACACACACACACACACGTCGCTATATAAATGCAATAATTTTGGACGCGGCGTTAAACCCCATTTCACCTCACCTTCTTCTTCTTCTCCTTTAACGTATTATCGTAGGAAGAGACTCACTCACTCACTCACTCACTCACTCACTCACTCACTCACTTTGCCCACAGATGACATGCCTGGATCTGGATGTTCGTACCGTGGCCGCACATACAACAAAGGCGCCGTCATCCTGGGCGCAAACCGCTGTTCAAAGATGAAGTGCAATAACGGAATCCTAAATTACATTGAGATAAGTAAGTTGAACTGTAATGTTGCCATCTGTTGATGTAGTATTCATGTGAGTCGCAAACAATACAGTTCTCTTTAAGCCATGCACGCTGTACACCTCCAAAACGACGTGGATAGCCCTGCTGTCTAAGACACCGCAATTCCCTGTGTTGCAAGATTTCGATGATCGTGGTTACAATTCCAGAACCGTACCGATACTGATTCTATATTTGTTAGCACCATACACGTGATCGTGTTTTTTAAATGTACCAATGTACTGAAAATAATGATCCCCTAATGGTTGCAATTGACATCTCTATGTCATTGTAATTTTCTTTCATGACCCTTCCCGAAAAGACAAAAGCATTTTATAATTTTTGTTAAAATGTCCATTTACTCTTCATGACCCTCCCCAAATATGTGTAGTGTTCTTTATGACGCTGTCCAAGAGATTGTAATATTTTTCGGTGACCTTTCGAAGACATTCCCCTGAGGTCTCCAGACAACTGAGCGTTTACTCACGTGGTATCATTCACATTCGGAATTGATAGCTGGGCGTTCAGTGTATTATTACTCTCTGCCCCCCCCCCCCCCCCCCCCCACCACACCACACACACACACACACACACACACCACCAACCACCCCTATTATAAATGAAATGTAGGATTATCTATAATGTGACCCTTCATTAATCGAATGAGAACTTGATTTTCATGGTGTAGGATTATTATCAATCTTACTTCTTTTTTTTAAAAACGCGTATGTTGCAATTGATATTTAACTTGCATTCAGAAGGGTTATTATTTAGGATTCTCGTATCAATCATATTCGGGTAATTAATATAAACGTATTCTTGATAATCGTGTTGATAATGGATTCGCATGTTGTATCATATTAAATCTTTATCATTTGCAAAAAGTAAGGTTATAAATAATAAAAATATTCTGCATTCATCTTATTAACACACTCTTCAAAAAAAAGAAACGCACAGGTTGTATGTAGTTTAATGAACCTGACTACACAAAATATCCGGTATATAAATTGGATATGTGTTATTGAAAAATGTTGGTGGCCTGATATTCCACAAACGGTGCATCAAAACGCAGCCATTGGCGATGTGCAATGTCTTAAATGGCATTGTTTTCACACTTGTTCAAAAATGTTATGGAGGAAAACAGTAAAGCAAAATGCACGTTATGGCACTTGTAAGTCGTGGTAGTGGCTATAAAAAAGCAAGCATAAGCCAATAATTTGTCATTCAAATGTCAACATTTTCTAAGTTCGAAAATGCCGAGACTCAGCGCTGCCGATCGGAACATAGGACGTATCTAAAGAGGGGAATCGCAGTCTTTTGTTGCACGCCACTTCAACGTCCACCACAGCACCATTTGCCGCCTTTGTGACCGATACACACAGTTCAATTCCACTGCAGACCGTCCGAGAAACGGCAGACCAAGAGTTACCACCCCTGCAAATTCTTTATCCTCACCTTCTTCCAATCATTGACCGCCAGAGGGAGCTGTTTCAACAGAACAACGCTCCAACGCACACAGCTCGTGTCACGGTAGACTACCTTCATAATGTTAACATCAACGCCTTGCCCTGGCCGTCGAAATCTCCAGATCTCAACCCAATCGAACACCTCTGGGATGAACTCGATCGGCGTGTCCGTCAACGTCAGAATACGCCGCAGACACTCCAACAAATGGCCAACGCGTTACAAGCAGAATGGCGCAGAATTCCGCAGGACAGAATTCGTACACTTATCAAGTCAGTGCCGAGGAGATGCAGAGCCGTGATTGCTGCCCGGGGCGGTCACACGAGATACTGAGTTCAGCGCCATCTTGTGGATTTATGTGACATGATTATGAACAGTTTTCGAAGCTTTTGTACAATGACAATCGAGCTCCAAAATTTCATATTTGTATCTATGATATTAAATCAAATATATCGACGTTTTTTAAGTACAATCAATTTACTAAAAATCTACCTATGCGTTTCTTTTTTTGAAGAGTGTAAGTCGTGTAGGATGTAGGATTGTTATTATACTTAATGTTTTACTAATTTTATTAATCTTATTCTTGATCTGTTATTAATCTTATTAATAAATGTTTGCCACCTGTGAAGATCCGGGTTAGAATTGGTCTTTAGCAACCCATGCATGTCGTAAGAGACGACTAGCAGAGAAGTCGGTCTGGCTCGCTGACTTGGTTGATGCATGTCATAGTGATCTCGATTGCGCAGATCGATGCTCATGATGTCAATCACTGGATTGTCTGGACCAGACTCGATTATTTTTAGACCACCATCATATATGTGGAATGTTTGCATTATGTAGGTTTTTTTTTTTCTTAATCTGTTATTTATCGTATTGATAAATGTCTGTAGGATGTTGGCTTATTATTACATAACGGTCGTGCTTCAGAATGCTTGTACAACAACATGTGCTATGGTGTGGGCGACAGCGTCAGAGGAGGGAGAAATGGCTGCCACCTGTTCAAGTGTCAGGCGAACGAGCAGTTCATGGCAGTGACCAGTGGTAGGGATACAACAACTTCAATCAATCATTCAGCTATAAACTGTCTGTTTACACAACTTTCCTGAGAGCTAGTTGATAGAATGTCTGCCCGGAGATTGGAAGGTCCGGGTTCCACCCCTGCCGGCGTCATACGAAAAGACGTACTGGCCTCCACAAGAGATATCGCTTGGGTGAGACCTTGTGATCTCTCCTAGGAGATATCGCTGCAGCAAAGACCACTGTGACGTCATCAGTTGCCATGATGTGACAATTAAATGACATCACTAATATCTCTGCTACTGAACCTTGATAGCAGTCCACTTTTTGACTCTGCTTATTACTGTTTATAAGCTGAAAAAATTGAAAGAATGATCAACACTCGCCGACAAAAGTTCAAAACTCCTCGGCAAGACTTGGAGATTTAAACTTTTATCGACTCGTGCAGATATAGTTGATATCAAAAGATACTCGGGTGACATTCTCTATTGATCCGCTCGCTCGCGTACAAACACACGCACACACGCACACGCACGCACGCACGTACGTACACACATACGCAAGCACACACGCGCACACACACACGCACACACGCACGCACGAACGCACACACTCACGAACACACTCACACACACACGCACACACACACTTTTTACTGACATCCTAAATAGGTTGTACGTATGTTGATGTCTCATATAAGAAAGACACACACAGAGACACACAGAGACACAAACACAGAAAGACAGACAGATACACACACAGAGACAGACACACAGAGACAGACAGACAGACAGACAGACACACACACACACACACAAACAGACACACAGACAGACACAGAGAGAGACACACACACCGATTTCTTCTTAACATAAGTCCTAACTGGTAGCTATAACACTGGTGTCGTGTGCAAGAAGGGCATTCCGTTGTGACATAAATTAGCAGTAGGTTTTAACATTTAGAATGTCTTGGAGATATAACACGTGAATTATAAAATGTGTTCTATCAAAGTTATCTTATAAAGAGACACATAGATAAGTACTCAGTAATTAACGTATCTGATAATATAATGGTGTGATTGAATGACGCATTGACATCTATTTATCTCGAAACAAATGGGATCATTTGGCTTATTGCGTGTCATTGGGAATTCATTCATTGGTGTTGGGACACGGGTGGCCCAGTCGTCTAAGGCGCCGCGATTCGCTGTGCAGATTTGTGTCCCTTGGGCACGCCAGAAACCTATGATTGCCATTTCGAATCCCGGTTCGCCCCGATTAAGTTTCTAGGTTTGTCAGCACCATACCCGTGCTCGTTGGTTTCACCGAAGTGGTACGCGTTTGAGACCTGCGTCACTTCGGGCTTTCCTCCCACATAAAGCTGACACGCAGCGATATAACTGTAATACTGTTAAAATCGGCGTTAAACCTAACTCACTCACTCCTTCATTGGTGTGAATGTGTTGCTCATGGTTTCAGTCATTGGTCTGTTTGGTTCAGATTCGATTATTTACTGACCGTTATAAGGCTGGAATTTTGCTGGCCTGGTGGTCAGGCTCAGTAACTTGGCTTATTGCGTGTCATTGGGAATTTGTGATGGTTTAATTGCTCATGGTTACAGTCAGTTGTTTGTTTGGTTCAGATTCGATTGTTTACTGACCGTTAACAAAGCTGGAGTATTGCTGACTAGGTTGTCAAGCTCGATGGCTTAATGCGTGTCATCCGGTATTCGCGATGTTGTAGTTTGTTGCTCATGCTTTCAATCACTTTTTTGTCATGTTCAGATTCGATTATTTACTGATAAGGTAGTAATGTTGCTGATTGCAGCGCCAAGTATGAATGGTTAAAGCATGTCTTGTTTTGTTTTCAGATCCTTACAAATGCAGAGACGCTTTCAACAGGTGCAGAATATGCCAGGGATAGGTGAACTGAGATATGTCAGTGACCGTGAACGGTTTCGTAATAAATGTTCTCCCCTCAATGTCTGTATGTCTCTGAGTGTGTGATCGTTGTTCTGGCTGCAGTCTGCAAAATTCCAGCTATATATCCCACAGCCTGTGAATAACCGAATAAGGACAGGCAAACCTGTCGTTGATGGCACGAGCAATAATCTCAAGGTCAGTGTTGATTTTGTTGATGGTTCTGTACTGCTGGACGGTACAGAAATGAGTGTCAGCCAAGCGAAGTGCTTTATCAAATCAGCCCAGACTCAGTTTATGTGCAGTGTGTTGAGCAAACAGGCAACCCTGCAGAGTCCTTCGCTTGGGTGAAGTCGGCCGGCCTGAAAAGTGAAACAGAAGGCTTTCTGTTTGATGCTCAGGACCAGTCACTTCCCACTCGAAACCGCCACTTTATGATTTTGCATCGAAATGTAAATATGAAATGTAGATAATGCAATGAATTTAATGAGACTAGCCAACACATTGTCAGTGGATACAAACACAGTATCTTAAGCGACATGATGGAGTGGCTCCATCATTTTATTACCGTCTTCGCCATGCTTGTTGTTTTGATACAGAGGTCCATTCATGGTTCGACTCAGAATATTGAGGGCGTCATGAAAAATGATAAATACAAAATTCTTTTGAATAGGTCCGTATACAGACTCAGACCTATCCAGGCCAACAAACCTGATCTTGTCCTCTTTGATAAATCCAATGAAATCCTGTATACACTCTTTAAAAAAAAAGAGAAACGCAAAGGTATATTTTAGTACATTTATTTTTTCTAATAAAGACGATATATTTAACTTAATATCATAGATACAAATCTGAATTTTTTTGGAGCTCGATAGTCATATGTTGTCGTTGTACAAAGGCATTGAAAACTGTTGATTGTCATGTCAAATAAGGCCACACAATGGCGCTGAACTCTGATGGCGCTGATCTCGTGTGACCGCCCCGGGCAGCAATCACGGCTCTGCATCTCCTCGGCACTTACTGGATACGTGTACGAATTCTGTCCTGCGGAATTCTGCGCCATTCTGCTTGTAACGCGTTGGCCAGTTGTTGGAGTGTCTGCGGCATATTCTGACATTGTCGTACACATCGATCGAGTTCATCCCAGAGGTGTTATTTCGGGTTGAGATCTGGAGATCTCGACGGCCAGGGCAAGCCGCTGATGTTGGCATTATGAAGGTAGTCAACCGTGACACGAGCTGTGTGCGGTGGAGCGTTGTCCTTTTGAAACAGCTACCCATGGCGGTCAATGATTGGAAGAAGGTGAGGTTAAAGAATTCATGTAGCGATTTGCTGTCAGATTTTCGAGAACCACATCCAAGTCAGATCTCGTGGTGTAGGATATGGCCCTCCACACCATGACACTATTGAGCAAAACGCTCATTTCGACGACGATAAACTCATTGTCTTCCATCTCGCCGGTGAAGAAGAAATCGTGATTCATCGCTTAACCACATTGGTCTCCATTTTCTCAAATTCCAAGGCTGTAAGGTATGGCACCAAGGCAAGCGTTGCTGCAGATGGATCTGTTGCAAAACAGGGACGATAACTGGTCTTCTGGGTCGGATTCCAGCCTCGCGAAGATGGTTCCTGACAATCTGGTCCGATATCCTCCTCAAACCAGGGATGCGTCCTGCAGTCTCCGTTGCTGTGGCATTGCGCTGTCGTAGGTGGAACAGTCGAATGTAGCGATCCTGTGCAGGGGTGGCAACTTTTGGTCGGCCGGTTCTCGAACGGTCTGCAATGGAATTGAACTGTGTGTATCGGTCACAAAGGCGGCAAATGGTGCTGTGGTGGGCGTTGAAGTGGCATGCAACAGAAGACTGCGATTCTTCTCCTTTGATACGTCCCATGGCGATGTTCCGATCGGCAGCGCTGAGTTTCGGCGTTTTCGAACTTGAAAAATGTTGACAATTGAATGACAAATTATTGGCTTATGCTTGCCTTTTTATAGCCAGTACCACGAGTTACGAATGCCATAACTTGCACGTGCATTTTGCTCTACTGATTTCCTCCATAACATTTTTGAACAAGTGTGAAAACAATGCCGTTTAACATTGCAAATCGCCAATGGCTGCGTTTTGATGCACCGCTTGTCGAATATTTTCCAATGACATATATCCAATTTATACACCTGATTAATTTTGTGTAGTCAGGTTCATTAAACTACATACTACCTGTGCGTTTCTTTTTTTTAAAGAGTGTATTAATAAGATGAATGCAGAATATTTTTATTATTTATAAACCTACTCTTTGCAAATTAATTTTTTAATATAATACAACATGCGAATTCATTCTCAACACGATTATCAAGAATACATTTATCTTAATAACCTTAATATGATTAATACGAGAAGCCTAAATAATAATCCTACTGGATGCAAGTCAAACATCAATTGCTACATACGCGTTTTTTAAAAAGAGTAACATTGATAATAATCCTATATGCGGACCTCGCTTTCGAAATGTCACGCTTGCATCCCAAGTATTGTCCGATTCCCCATTCATCTGAATAAAGCGTTAACCTTACATGTAATCCCTTCCTAAGTTAATAAGTTGTGTATGCGCAACATCTCCTCTGAAACTGCAGCTTTAGTGGGTGAGTGGGTGGATGGGTGAGTGAGAGTGAGTGAGTGGGTGAGTAGGTGTTTGGGTGGTTGAGTGAGTTAGTGAGTGAGTTAGTGAGAGAGTAAGTGAGAGTATAGTTTACGCCGCTGTTTTTTGCAATAATCAATCAATTTCACGCCAGGGAACAATGTGTTTCACCCTTTGTGGGGAATCGAACACGGGCCTTCGGCATTACGAGCGAACACTTTAGCCGCATGGCTATCCCACCGCATGCATGCAGCTTGAACGGCCACGGCGTCATATTAGCAATTAGTTGCTGTTCACATACCCAGACACAACAATACTCAAGTATTGGTATGCGTAAACGCTTATATTATGGCCGGTAGGTTTTACAATTTATGCATGTACCTTGAAAAAATAAGTACTTTCTACCTACATTATCTATGTCAAACTGTCAGAACTATCAGTCACATGTACATAGGCCATACATATCTGTTGACGTATATGATAACATAGTCCAAGGCCAAATATAATTCAAGAAGTGACCTTTAGATATCAATATTTAAATCTTGCTTCCATTTAACAATGCCCTTTTGTCTAACCCTAAAAAACATATAGCATAGTTTATAACGCCAACTTATGCACGTAGGTAGTCCGCTTAGATCCGTTCTACAAACCCCTCTTACTTAACGCAATAAGGCGCACAGCTTGTGTTTATGTAGTTACAAATAAAGTTTTCTATATGTCTAAGAAAAACGATTCTATAAGAGAACGCCTCAGTATCAGGGAACCTTCAAGGCGTTTAGCTTCAAAGCTTGAGAATGGAATAAGTCCAGGCTGCTAGAGTTCAGAATAGGAAAATTAGAGATATACTGTAAACTATAAATATGGGATTAAATCATATATAAAGCATGTCATAACAAGTATCTTGAAGATAAAACCATTCCGTAGGCAATATTAGTAACGAAAACGTTACAAACCTACTCGTATTCCGGAAACTACCGAGATTTTATGAGCAGAGTTGTCAGCACGTGACCTGACGTCATAGTGGACCGTTTACCTCACTCATATTCGTACATTTAAGAACTGACTTTCACTTTGTGTGAGTTCATTGGAGGATGAACCTTCATAGAGTGAGGGTCAAACTGTATGAACGTCGGAGCTAGATTTCTTATCTGAATTAATTTCACGCCTAAAAAATACCTATGAACAGGATTGGCACAGCAAACGGAAGCAAAACATCATCATATTTATTGTTAGAAGTTACTTTTCGAGTAGAGCTGTAACTCAGATGTATATCTATCAAGATATTCAAAGTGGCCCCAGGTCAATTTCGATGTTTTCACATCAGTTGCATATTGAAACTGGTAGATATGTCAAAATCGTTGGCCTACATTTACCGAAATAAAGAGAGAGAGACATAGATTGCTGTAGACTGTAACTGTCAGTCTAGACACGGTTCGAGTCGATACCACGATCGTGGATGTGCATTTCATCGTTTTGTTCACTAGGATGGGTCGCAGCGAGCATATACATGAACGATCATGCAGTCAAACGCTGTGACAATTCTCAATGTGTGCTAAAACGCTTAGTTCACGATTAAAGGTCTAAATGATCAGAAAGAACGGTTCTGTATGTATTCCTGCTAGAGAAGTTACAGGGGTTCCCCCAGGAATGTGGAAGTAGTCCGTCAGTGTTTACGTCATTTCAAGAACACGGTCTCGTGAAAAACGTAAGAACGTCAAATTGTGTCGTTCATACAATTATAAATGTCAAATAAGCGGTCATGTGACCGGCCTCTCGTCCAATGGAAAAGCCGTATATCGTGTAAGCTTCACATTTAACACTTATATCAATATGAGCCCGTTGAATAAAATAGTATTGACAGCAGTGAGGAAAGCGAGAAAGATCTATCGAGCGAAGACGATCAATCAGATGTCAACACGGAAAGACTTGGGCACGCAATCTGTATTAAACGCTATCCTGACATTTCTAAATAAAATAGAAGTTTATCAATATAAAAATTATTTCGTGAGATAGTTATTCTTGTGTAAAACGTGCCAAGTGTAGATTGACGCTTACCATTGTCAAAACATAGATCAGTGTGTTGAACAAGTTAGATAGCTCTATGGATATACAACTTCATTCGCGGGCTGGATCTGCCACTGCTTTTTTACAATAATATCCATCTATTAACTTAGAACTTTTTCCCTTGTTCTTCTTAACTTTTAAATGCCACTCAACGAAGTTCATTTTGCTTTATGCCAAACAAATAAATTTGTTTTCTATACAAGTGAATGTTATGCATAAATTGTATTGTCTAATGATGGCTGGTTGAGTTTTAAACCCTGCCCTTTAAACAGTTGTAATGATATGTAATTCATTGATCAACAGAAGGATATTAATTGCTGGCATTTAGCTTACTACATGCACTCTATAAACTTTCCCCAAACAACACC